GTTGTGAATTGGCGCTATAGAAATAAACTGAATTGAATTGTCTCTGTTTATACAAAATGAGATTTCAATGCATACAGATTCTCAACACCGAATGAGCAGCTTACAACAGTGAAATGAACATTGCCATTTATAAAGTGCAGCAGTGATCAGAATGTAAACAGTGTAGGAGATAATTTCAGTGCAATATAAATAAATATGGTGCAAAATGCAGAACATTGAGTTGTATTCAGCCACGTTGGTGGTGCAAATAATATGTTTTCAAGTGTGATACAGAGTCTTGATTAGAGTTTCAACGGTTCAATAGTTTGATGGCAGGGGGGAAGACGCTGTTGCAGAACCTGCAGTGAAAGCTGTGAAGCCTCTTTTCAGAGCACAGCAGGGAGAACAGTCCCTACTGGCCTGTATGTAGTCTATTAAACTAGTTAAGATGTTTTGCACTCCTGGCCTGGGATCTCAGCTACTTCCTGTCTGAATAAAAGGTCATCTTTAAAAGCACAAGGTCGGCTCAGCAGGACTCCAGAGGTAGTTCCACTATATAAACATCATTACTTTTCAATTCAATTAACCTTCTTTCACATTTTTAATATATTTTCATTTTTTATTTTGGGGTAAAATGAACTGTTTTGGACAAAGATTTCTATGTCTTTACTGATCAGATAACCATCAAAAGGGAAAATTTTTAAATAAAGGACAAATAAGAGAAATCACTGATTTGGTAAATTGAGCAATTCACCAGCTGAAGAGAAACTTCGAGGAGGCCTAAAAAATGGCGGTACTGGGGGGTTGCACCATTAATGAGAAATCCTGTTGATTTGTAGTGACCCTTCCAGGTTCTAGTTATTGCATTCCAATCACTTTAACAAGAGATGAAGGAGGATAAACTCAAGCGTCCCTTTTTGTTTATGGCTAATAGACATTCTTGGTGTTCAGATAAGTAACCCTGTGTTTCCTTGGGGGACGTTGTCATGGAGCCCAAACCTCTGCAAACACGCAAAATAACCATCTGACACTTTCTCGACTTATGCCAACATATTTCCCTTTCACTTCACCCTATAGACATAGACCTTCAGCAATGGAACAGTAATAAGGAGGATCTCAGGATAGTTTCATCGATTTGCACTTTTAAGATGAATTAAAGATCCCTCTGAAATACATGCTGTCATGTAAACTGATGGTTGTTCAGATGTTGGGATACCGTGTGAGGAGGAGTGAGAGAGAAGTCCCTGAAACTCCAGCAGGATCAGTATGAGCGCCGCGGCCTTCGACTGAGACCGACTTGAGGAGATGAGACCATCATTCAAGAGGAACACAGAAGAGATGATCTATAAATAATGTCTATGTTAGAAAAGGCAATGGTAAACTTGCTCCACAGGTGGATTTGTCTGGGAAAGAAACAGTCAAGCAGATGAGTACTGAGCCAGTTTTCATGTCAAAAGATTGAAATTAGCCACGGTAAAAGCCTAGCCTGTATCTGTGTCTAGGAGAGAAACAGGACTAGACAATGAAAAACAGGCCAAACTCTATCACCTATAAACAAAGGTAGGGGGGGATTTACCATTAGGCAATACTAGGCAGTTACCTAGGGCCCAAGTTCCTGGGGGCCCCATAAAATATATATATTTATGATATATTTGTGCACATAAATTATGTTTCTGATGAAACTATAATATTAAGTGTGTCTCAGCCCCCCCCCCCCCCCCCCCCCCCTTCAGTGTCCACCATATTGGATCAGTCCATTTGCTGCACATGTTCAGAAAGGTCCAAACAGACAGCAGCAAACCATTTGAAAACAAACGCTGCAAAGAGCAGTGCTGCCAACTTAGCGCTTTAGTCACTATTTTTAGCAAATGTTCAGACCACTCTAGTGCATTTATTCCAGAAAAACACCTAGCGCCAAATCTAGAGACTTTTTTCTGTTAGTGGAGACTTTGGAGACAACATCTAAAAGCAGCGAACTCTGCTCTCCAGAGCAAGTAGATTGGTAACCCCGCCTCCTGCTCTCCTCTATCTTGTCTGCTGTCATGATTCATGCAGCTGTTATTTCATCCAAATGAAAAATGGAGAACAGATAAGCACATCATGGCTTGTCTACAGTGAAAAGAAGGACTGGGTTATTTACTTTGGCCTTTTTGGAAACACAGGAAGGAGCAATCAGCTAAGTGAGCTTAGTGCTTGGAAAAAATCTTTCATTCCTTTAGAGACAGCATGAAAAGTCAGCTGAGTACAAAACATAGAGAGGAAAACAAGAAGAAAAGGGACAAGAAGAGAGGGACACAACCTAGAGAATGGATGTCTATTCTATTAACATCTCTATATCTCTATAATGGGTCAATTCAGAGGGCTCCATGCCTGTTTTTGCCTAGGGCCCCAAATTTCCTAAATCCGCCCCTGAACAAAGGTTTGGGTGGTTAAGCTCAGCTGATATTTCCCTTCATGATAGAGTCACAGCCAAGCGGGAACAGACCAGATCAAGCTACTATGATAAAGATAAAAAAACTGCATAAAGTAAGAGATTGAACTAACAAATACTGAAAAATTGGAGCACAGAGATAGAATGAAGAAAAAGGGGTCCATGTGTCCTCCAGCAGTCTAAGTCTATAGCAGCATAACTATAGAGATAGCTCAGGATAACCTGAGCCAATTTAACTAACTAACTAAGAGAAAACAAACCAACCTCCTCTCAAGCGCTGATGGGAAAGAGATCTTTAGGAGAGACAGGGTGTACTTCATGATGGACAGTAACATCATTTAACTCACACTAAACAAAACATGATAGCCAGAGGTCTGAGTTTCTTCTAAGATGCTGACCTGAATGTCAGAGAAATTAAAACAGATCAGTCAATCTGAACATTGACTAAACAACAGGATAGAAAATCTAAGACTTTATCAAAAAGGAACATTTTCAGACTGGCCTTAAAGTAGACAGCCAAACAGGAACAGACCAGATGAAGCTACTATGAGAAAAAGCAGAGAGAGCAGAACGTTAGAGATTGAACCAACAGATTCTACAGAGTGGGAGAATAGAGATAGAATGAAGCAGAATTATGAAAAAGGGGTCCCTATGTCCTCCAGCAGTCTAAGCCTATAGCAGCAGAACTATAGAGATAGCTCAGGATAACCTGAGCCACTCTAACTAGAAGCTTTATCAAAAAGGAAAGTTTTAAGCCTAGCCTTAAAAGTAGACAGGGTGTCTGCCTCACGGACTAAAACTGGTAGTTGGTTCCACAGGAGAGGAGCCTGATAACTAAAAGATCTGCCTCCCTTTTACTTTTAGAAATTCTAGGAACCACTAGTAAACCTGCAGATTGAGAGCGAAGTGCTCTGTTAGGAACATAAGGAACAATCAGATCTCTGATATCAGATGGAGCTTGGCCATTTACGGCTTTATATGTGAGAAGGAGGATTTTAAATTCTATTCTGGATTTAACAGGAAGCCAATGAAGAGAAGCCAGGATAGGAGAGATATGATCTCTGTTTTCATGACTTTATATGTTTAGGTGGATGTCATGGTGAGAGGTATACTGCATCAGGGACATCAGAGGGACAATAGTGTCCCGATGGTCAGAACAAAGCTGCTTCTTTTTCCTTCATCTAAAACCACCCTAAGAAAATGTGTTTGTCCTTTTAACTCTTGTATCAGAGACCCGTTTAAGAAGAAGGAAAAAGAAAATCCCTTAATTGTCCCACAATGGGGAAATTCTCTGCATTTAACCGATCCCCTTGGGGAGCAGTGGGCTGTCATTGTGTGGCACCTGGGGAGCTTCCAGCTTTTTTTTGTTGTTGTTGTCATTACACCGCCACAAGTACAACGAAATGAACTCTCTGCATTTAACTCATCTCCTTATGGAGCAGTGTGGGGTTAAGGGTTTTGCTCAGACACCCAGAGTGGAGGCTGTGGGGACTGAACCGGGTAGTTGCAACCTTCTCAGAGCACAGGCACACTCCCCTTCTTTACTTCACTTATTTTCCAAATATAAATGACTTGATGCTTCCAGCATTAAGAGGTTGGATCTGATGCTAATTTATAGATTTCGAGAGTCCTCCTGCATACCAGAGAAGATCTGAAACCAAACAGTTTCTGGTGGAAATGTTGGATCCTGGAGCAATGAAGAAGTTAGAGTCGCAGACTGGATCAGAATAGCAGTTATCAAATTTACTGGACAAACCAGACTTTAATCCACTTGTTTGATAAAGAATTTTGGTTCTAAAAGGAAAATAAGAGAACTTAGGACAGCTGAATCAGATAAGAATTAGGTCAGCACTAGGAGTCCAGAGCGTTTACCGGCTGGATGCATGTCCCTAAAAGATGAACCGGGCTAATGTTTAAAGATCCAAACAATGGTTCTGACCGTGTGCCTGGTGCCAAGCAGCATCATTCTGGATGAGGAGCCCACCTGTAATCAGAAGGTTGTGGGTTTGACTCCAGCTCCCCTGCAGCCACACATCCATGTCATGACATTAGCATGATATTAAAAGGCTGAAAGCTGTAGCTTCAGTGTAGCTGTAGTAGTCGCCATGGTTACATGAGCCATGTGTGAGTCCATCTGCTTCCAGTTTATCTTCAAACCAGCAGCTCATTTTAACCCACTTTTTCTTCCTTCTTGAGCCTTCATCGTGCTGCTAGGATCAAAATCTGAAGAGATTTTGTGACCCAATTAGCCATTTCTGTTCTTATAAAAAGGTTTAATCAGTTGGTCGACTGGATCCAGTAACTTCTGAACCAACAAAAAAACTCCTTAAACATACAAAAAAAAAGGAGGAAGCATTTGGTTGCTTTAATTTTTAAACCAAGCTTTTATATAATTACTATAAAATATTAGGCTTGCAAATATGTAATTTCTAACAATCAAAAGATCCAAGTTTTATCATTAGGGATTAATAAAACTAAAAGATCGATATTCTAAATCAGACATAAGCTCATTACTTGACAGCACCGTTTGTATCCTGGAGGTGAGGAAGCAGACGGAGGAGATGCCAGAGAGCATGAGATGAACCACACATCAGGCTTTAGTGCATCGTTTTATTAATCAATACAAAAACATGACTGTATCCACTGGTGCTGGTTGCACTACACCCACCCAGCATCAAGATCCACCACCCACTCCTCCACCCACAGCCGACAACAACAGCTCAAAATAACTTCCACAGTACGTCAGGCCTGGCAGATACCTGAACCTAAAAACTACAACTTAGGAAAGAAATCCAAAGGTTTTACAAAACTAACAAACATGCCCCATGAGGTCATCAGGCAAAGGTTCCAGGAATGCTTATAATGTCTTCACCGCGTCGTCGATTTCTGAGATCTGTTCCTTTAGTTGGTTCCACTGTTCTGGGTTCAGGGAGATGCCTGAAACGACAAAAACAAAAATCAGAGGAGAGTCACCTCAACTGCAGAACCCAACAACATCCGACCGCTGAAACGTGTCATGATCATCACCTTTCTTCCCTGGTTTCATCTCCCCGTCCTGGTTCATCCAGTACTCCCTGATGTCGATCAGGACTTTGCCCTTGAAGTCTCGAACACTGACGTATCTCATCTTTCCGATCTGTGGGAAGGAGGAGAGTCAGACCAGCTCCAAAACTTTTTCCTTTTCCCGTTTTATGGGATGTCTGGGCAGCTTCTGGGTGGGAATACATTGTCTCCACATGTTCATGCTGCTCTCCTATCGCTTCTGAGGTGTCGGTGTCAGGTGGAGGTCGGATAGGAGGCTGACGGGGCTCCATGGGGTCACCAGAAACAAACTTAGAAGCTTAAACTGTTTCAGCAAATTTAAAACCAGCTCATCTCAGCCCAATCTGATGACCTACTTCCTTTTTTGCCCAACTATACTGCAATACTACTGCTTTTCTTAAAAGAAATGCATTTCACCTTCACTGGAGCAGGAAGGTCAGACAGACTAACAAAGGAGTAAGTTAAGCTATTTTTAAACCTAGAAGAAACAGCTCAGTCTTAATCCAAGTCCATAATATCTAATATCTTATTTAAAGGACAAAAATCCTGGTTCCTTTGGCAGATCATCTTATTTAGCCGCTCGAATTAAGAGCAAAAGCACTGATTTCTCTTCCCTTCAGCTCATCAATTTAAAATGCTGCTGTTATCAGTGGGCTTCTGTTACAGCTGGCTGGGTTTTAATCGACCAGAGCTCTGCAGCCGGTAGCTCCCAACAAGAAAGCAGTGTTTTTAAATATAGATTAACAAATAATGCATTAAGCTAAATGTTTTAATTTCTTTTTTAAATAAATAACCGCTCTGAAAATGTGAAAGAAAAGGACCTTAAAGCAGCAGAAAGCTGCTGTGGGAAATGGGGGACTTAAAAAGTTCTGTGTAATCAGAGAAGCTTAGAGAGAAACCAAAGGTCAGTGATCAGGTAAATCAGCAGAGGATCCATCCATTTGGGATTAAAAGTTCAACCTTAAAGGAGGCCTGCTGATGATGACTGAAACCTTTGGTCCTCTGGTCTGCCCATGTAGGCGAATCTGCTTTTAGTGTCTTCAGCTCACCTGGAACATGTTGTCGTTTCCATTGCCGCTGCCTTTGGAAGAGCCTCCAGGTTTGGAGCTCTCCCCACCTTTTGCTTTCTTAGCTGGTTTTTCTGGAGCGCTTGGCTTCTTTCTTTTGGCCTAGGAACAAAAATGAACCTCCATCATGTTGCAGACAGAAATAAATCAAGGAGTTCCTGAATTGTATGTAAACAAGGTTCAGAAAACAGAAACTACAACAAGAGCACATTTCTGCGTCTCTCTGTCCCAGTTGAATATATTTCATTGCTGGAAGGTTAAGAAATAAGTTTTCATTTAGGATCAAACCTTGGTCTCTACTTCACTGTCAGAGTCGCTTCCAGATGTGGAGGACAGCACTTCCTTTGATTTGGGCATTCTGCTGAAACATGGAGCAGAATAAAACAAACTTCAGATGATCCTATTATAGATCCCTCTCATTGTATGATCACAACATAACATCCAGGAATATATGGAAAGTTAGACAGATTTTAGTGCTGCTGCCATCAACACCTTTGTTTATAGATGTTGGAGATCGGCCTATTTTTAAGTGTAGTCTTGTTTCTCTGACTTTGACTAACTGGGTGTGCTCTCTTCATGGGCGCTGGCTCAGAGCTCGTCTGCCTGGCTGTGTGTCTCCATGGCAGGGCTGCATGTGGAGCTGGTTGACAGTTGCCTTTTGTATCTATGCTTCTTTTTCTATGTCCGCTTCGGTCTCCTTGAACCCCAGTCGGCCTCAGCAGATGACCGCTCACACCGAGCCTGGTTCTGCTGGAGGTTTCTTCCTGTTCAAAGGGAGTTTTTCCTCTCCACTGTCGCTACAAGCATGCTTAGTGTGAGGGATTGCTGAAGAGTCAATGAGTTGATGCAATCAGCTGGTTTTCCTTAGATAGAAAACTTTTAATCAATCCGACTGGATGATCTGGTGAACTGAAAAGTGCCTTGAGATGACGTGTGTTGTGAATTGATGCTATAGAAATAAACTGAATTGAATTTTATTAAATTTTAGCTTGTATATTTATCAAGAGACTTGATTATTGGATCTGAGATTGTAACCGCATTAACGTCCTGTTCTCTGATCAGGATCTGATCTGTACTGGAAATTAAAACGGGGGGAATTACTGTAAAACGTTAATTTTTAATGGCAGTGGTGCAACTTAAGTCAACATATTATTCCTCCCTTTGTATTTTCTCTGAAGGTCCTTCAGCCAGGCTGGATGCTGGGCTGGACTGATCTTAGACTCAAAGCGGGCCTGCTTAGTTCATATCTAGAACTCAGATTCTGAGATGGCGCCTTGTTGTAGTTCAAACTACATCCGGTGGCGGTTAGCCTGTTATGGGTCTAAATCCGTTTCAGCGAGAAAAATCCGCCTCATACAACCCAATTATATTTAAGCGAGATTAGTGGGAGTTTGCAACTGGACAGAAGGCTCACAGCTGCCCCCTAAAAACACAATCAGGGCTAGCATCTTTAGCAGGTTAGCTCTGGGAGCTAACGCAGCGGCTAGCATGGATACATCGCATCAGCTTTCCTTCCCATTAATAAAACCAGGAAGATATTAGTTGCTCTACTAAACCTGGGAGACTGAGCACGACTTTTAAGGAAAATCTTAAATAATTAGGCTTACATGATGGGATGGTGCAGCGCGGATCTTTCAACAGGAAACGGAACCTTTGTGTTGGTTCTTCTTCTTGGTCGGTTCTTCTGGCTTAACGCAGCGATGCTGCCCCCTACAGGCCACACGGTGGCCAGAAATACAAACATGACAGCTCAGGTTTTTTAACCCTTCATAGGTGAAATATCAGTGAAATATTTTGAAAACCAAAATTTCCAGCCACTACTTTTATTGGAATCCCGGACAAGACCTTATTATCTTCGTAAAATAAAAAATAAAAATGTATATTTTGATGGCAAAAATGAATGTCAATGTAATAACAAGAAACACACACTTGCCTGAATATATATATATATAAAAAAGTGCTTCTATAAAAAAAATCATGAAAAACACTCAGGCTGAAAGAAACACTTTTTTATTTATTTATTTTTATTTATTTTTTTGTTACAGCAAAACCTTAGAGGCATTAATGTTGATACTGGCACTTACATTTTAAAGTCTATAAACCTAAATCTAATATTTAACTAGGCTTATTAACTTTTTAAATTTACTTTTAAATTTTCATTTAGCTTTTTACCCTTTTTCTTGAGTTGTTAACTTATTTTTCTAAACTTAACTTACAGTAGGTAATATATCATTCAAGGGCTCATCTAATTGGTGAAAATAAGACGTACAGCCATGTAGCAGCATCTATGCTGAATGGCCTGATATAGATCTTGTGCTATTAGAGCTCAATGAGGGACAGGGGGGGGGGGGACTCCTTTGATGTAAGGGAGCCTTTATAGGGCAATAACTTGCCCTATAAAGGGTTAAGCCCAAATCAAACAGATTAAAAAATTGGATTTATTGCCTCACTTCATTAAAACACCTGAAGCTGTTTAGAAAATTAAAATTAAAAATACTTTTCAAATTAAGTCTTCCTTTTAAACATTCACTGGGATACTAACGATTTCTTGTTTATATGAATAACAGACTTATCCCATCATCCTTCAGTTTTTAGGTTTAAAAGCTTCCATTCTAACACATTTTTATTCCGACATTCAGCTGAACACTCAGCTCTCCTCTAATAACCTGTTCATTTAAATACATCTCTAATCTTGCTGCTTTTTACTAAAGCAAGTTATTTACTTTTTTCTTTCTAACTATTTGCCACAGCTGGAATCAGATACACCTCACTGTGAGGCACAGAGCACATGTCCCTAACTCTCTGATATTTGAATAAGCCTTTCATGATCAGGTCAGGTTACAAAAACTATGACTGATGTCTTTAACCAGTGGAAACGCCCAGATGATAGCGCCATAGCGTTGTAGTTCTCCAGCTGCATAAAGGGTTCCACCATCATCAATTCCAACCATTTCTGGGGTGTAGACAGTGCTCGAGTTGGGGGGGGGGGTGGCATCCCCCTTCTTAAATGACCCCCCCCCCCATATCATCAACTGACATTTTATTACTGAATAGGTTAAATTTCTACTATACTAACAATAATGGCAACATTTGGCGGGCTGTGGGCTTACAAGTAGTCCGAGCAAAATAAATAAAATAACAGGCTTACCATGACTATGACACTGATTCCAGTCGGAAATTAGTACCTAACTCTGTAGGGGCAGTAATAGCCATGCTAACTCTGTAGGGGCAGTGGTAGCCATGCTAACTCTGTAGGGGCAGTGGTAGCCATGCTAACTCTGTAGGGGCAGTGGTAGCCATGCTAACTCTGTAGGGGCAGTGGTAGCCATGCTAACCCTGTAGGGGTAGTGATAGCCATGCTAACTGTGTAGGGGCAGTGATAACCATGCTAACTCTGTAGGGGCAGTGGTAGCCATGCTAACTCTGTAGGGGCAGTAGTAGCCATGCTAACCCTGTAGGGGCAGTGATAGCCATGCTAACTGTGTAGGGGCAGTGATAACCATGCTAACTCTGTAGGGGCAGTGGTAGCTATGCTGTGTAGTGGCAGTGATAACCATGCTAACTCTGTAGGGGCAGTGGTAGCCATGCTAACTCTGTAGGGGCAGTGGTAGCCATGCTAACTCTGTAGGGGCAGTGGTAGCCATGCTAACCCTGTAGGGGCAGTGATAGCCATGCTAACTGTGTAGGGGCAGTGATAACCATGCTAACTCTGTAGGGGCAGTGGTAGCTATGCTAACTGTGTAGTAGCAGTGATAACCATGCTAACTCTGTAGGGGCAGTGATAGCCATGCTAACCCTGTAGGGGCAGTGGTAGCATGCTAAGGGCCAGTGGTAGCCATGCTAACCCTGTAGGGACAGTGGTAGCCATGCTAACTCTGTAGGGGCAGTGATAGCCATGCTAACTCTGTAGGGGCAGTGGTAGCCATGCTAACCCTGTAGGGGCGGGCAGTGGTAGCCATGCTAACCCTGTAGACACAGTGATAGCCATGCTAACCCTGTAGACGCAGTGATAGCCATGCTAACTCTGTAAACGCAGTGATAGCCATGCTAACTCTGTAGGGGCAGTGGTAGCCATGCTAACTCTGTAGGGGCAGTGGTAGCCATGCTAACTCTGTAGGGGCAGTGGTAGCCATGCTTACCCTGTAGGTGCAGTGGTAGCCATGCTAACTCTGTAGGGGCAGTGATAGCCATGCTAACTCTGTAGGGGCAGTGATAGCCATGCTAACTCTGTAGGTGCAGTGGTAGCCATGCTAACCCTGTAGACGCAGTGATAGCCATGCTAACTCTGTAAACGCAGTGATAGCCATGCTAACTCTGTAGGGGCAGTGGTAGCCATGCTAACTCTGTAGGGGCAGTGGTAGCCATGCTAACTCTGTAGGGGCAGTGGTAGCCATGCTTACCCTGTAGGTGCAGTGGTAGCCATGCTAACTCTGTAGGGGCAGTGATAGCCATGCTAACTCTGTAGGGGCAGTGATAGCCATGCTAACTCTGTAGGTGCAGTGGTAGCCATGCTAACTCTGTAGACGCAGTGATAGCCATGCTAACTCTGTAAACGCAGTGATAGCCATGCTAACTCTGTAGGTGCAGTGATAGCCATGCTAACCCTGTAGACGCAGTGATAGCCATGCTAACTCTGTAAACGCAGTGATAGCCATGCTAACTCTGTAGGGGCAGTGGTAGCCATGCTAACTCTGTAGGGGCAGTGGTAGCCATGCTAACTCTGTAGGGGCAGTGGTAGCCATGCTTACCCTGTAGGTGCAGTGGTAGCCATGCTAACTCTGTAGGGGCAGTGATAGCCATGCTAACTCTGTAGGGGCAGTGATAGCCATGCTAACTCTGTAGGTGCAGTGGTAGCCATGCTAACCATGTAGGGGCAGTGATAGCCATACCAGTCCAGGGACTGACTGCAGTTCTACTGTAAGGTGCCTTGGTCAAGGTCAATGACCGGCATACCTGACATGTGACAGTCAGAGAATGCATATTGCTTTAGGTTAATAAAATATGTATGCTTCCAAAAAAAAAAATCCACCATCCCTACTGGCTGTAGACACATTGACATGTTGGTCAATGGGACATTTTTTAAACTGTTATCTATTTTAGTGGGAAATGTATTTAGCTGAGATGAACAAAAGCCGACGTGACAAGTGAATTTCTCAACTCTGAGATCAATAAAGTGTATCTTAAAACTTACTGGTAAATAAACTGCAGATGTTCCACATTAGTTTTACTGAACCATCATACCACATTATGACCCCCAAACGAACTCTGTCTTATTGCAGCTCTTGAATCAGCTGGAGAGAAGCCTGGGTCAATGGTAGAACATGAGGAAACTTCTGGAGAACAGCCGGGGAACCAACATATCAGAGAGAAGCTGTTCTCTTTAAAACGTTTTAATCCAAAGTACAGGACTGCATATCAGACAACAGTTCCCAAGCCCCCCCCCAGTGTCCATGTTTATGTGATCGCCAGACAGAGCGACCCTGGTCTACTTCCCGGGACCCAGCCCTCTTGCTAGGTTCTCGCTGGTTTCTGCGGCGTCCTTCAAAGCTTGCATCACCATGGCGTTCCTCTGCCTCGTCTCTTCCATTCTCACAGGGTTCGATTCGGGGAGGTTCTGGTGAACAAGCGGACAAGAAAGGAACTCTGGTGAGTTTAGGGAGACTGATTTTGTTCATTGCAGAAAATTTAAATCTAAAGAAGTCCTTTTTTTTTTTTTATAAATAAGAGCATTTGAGACACATTGCCAATGGAACAAGTCAATTTGCATTTAAAATAAGAGAAAAAACAATTGCATTGTATAAGATCATATGCGCATATGATCTATCTTATTTTAAGAGTAAAAAAATCTTCATCCCATTGGCAGATCATCTTATCTACCTGCTCAAATTAAGGGGAAATACACTTAATTTAAGATATTTTTACGTATTTCTAGATCATTTTTGCAGTGCTTGGTTCATAAAACAACTAAAACGTACAAGAGGAAGGACAAAAAATATATATATATTAGGAAGTCAGAAGGAAACCAAAGAAAACAAATCTGCTGGTTCAAAAAGCACCTAAAACATGTGAGCAGGTCAAAGTCACTGACTCACTGGGACTCGGTGGGTCTGAGCATAAAGTGACTCTTCTCCTCTTCATCAGGAATGAGCGGCTCTGATGCGGCAAAGCTGGTTCAAACGGATCCACTTTTACAATCACTGAATACCATGAAGGAACTCTGAACTTTTCACGACTGTTGTGAAAATTTAAACAGGATCAAATGCAGCCAACGCATCTGACAATAAATCAGTTACTGCCTGCTCTAAGATATAAACCATTAACCAAGATGGCCCACGAACCCATGACTGAGGAGCTGCAGCTGAGCTTCGGATCAGAACAACCCAACCCCCTGGCAGGCTACGCCTTCCTGCAGAAAAAACGACACTAAAGTCTCCTTTAGTGTCGTTCTGAATATTTTCTCTTTCATAACAAGAAACCGCCCTGATTAGTCAGCATCAGCTATCAGCTCCAGGTCTTCAGTGTTGGAAGGCCTCCCTTCCATCACCCTAATCTGTAGCTCCTTGCTCAGATTCTGAGTTTGGTTCAGGAATCTGAGGCTGCATGAGTAGATCTATTCGGAGAAATGAGTTAGTCGAGTTTAAAGATGAATTTCAAAGTAAAGCTGCCAGAGTTTTCTGATCCCACTGAAGTAGAGGCTCCCATTGAGTCCAAGTAAATGGATCCTTTCAGCAGCTCGATGCAGCTTAGCTGAATAAATAAAATAAAAAACGTTGAATTATCATCACACTGATAACACCAAGCTAACAAGAACTCAACAAAAAAAAAATGTTGTTCTATTGTATTTTTGCACCATATCTATTTGTCTTTGCAAAACTCTGAACTTTCAATATGCACCATGTTTTCCTCCCACGTTGTTTACATTTGATCACTGCTGCACTTTATGGAACGGAAATGTTCATTTCACTGCTAAGCTGCGGCTCATTTACTGTATGAAAGCTGGACTAAACAAAATGTAGTTGTTTAAGAATTCAGAGAATTTCTGATGCTTTGCTTAAAGAAAAAAAAAAAGTTGTTCTGATGTCGCATAAAAGAAAAAAAGAAAAATAAAACAGGTTCTTTTTGAGCTGTCAAACACTCATTAAATGCTTTCACAAGATTAAAAAATGGAAAATTTCAATTAAACTTTTCAAAGTTATCTAAAAGTGACAAATATGGCTTAAAACTTGTTGGCATTAAAAATATATATAGTTTATTCCATTTCTGTTGGAAGAAACAGAGCAGCTTTTATTACCTCATTAATAATCAGCGTCAAATGTTTGACCATATTTTTGCTCCATATAGAATTTTACAGTTAACAGAAACATGATATGAGGTTTGATTTCTAATCTGGACCTGCAGAAGAAAAACAGGAAGGTCTCTGATTTAGCATCACCTTCCTCTCTCTCCAGCTGCTCAGTCAGCTCCGCTAAGTTTCTCTGCAGATGAACAGGAGAGGATCAAAGGTGGGTCAAACTAAACTCCAGCTCGCTGCCGAATGGAAAGGAGAGGAAATGACTCGCTGATCCATCGGCTGACAGGCTGGGAATATCTGACATCGATCACATCAGGAATAATCTGGGTTTCTTGGTCTCTTTTTGCCTCCCAGGTTTTACAGCCATTATAGATTTGATCTACACTGCCACCTGCTGGCCACACAACATCTCCCATGTCACACAATTCTGTTTCTAACAGCAGGACATTAAAAAAATATGGGTACCCTAATCATTTTATTGATTTGAATATCGTTAACTACTTTTCACTGATTTAGCGAAACACAAATTGGTTTGGTAACTTCATTAAGATTTGAACTTTATAGCCAATCATGAGGAAATGTATTTAAGGTGGCCAGTTGCAAATTGTTTATTCTGTTTTAATCTCCTCTGAAGATTCCTCAAAACAACTCTCAAATGATCTGAAAACAAAGATTGTTCAACATAGTCGTTCACGGGAAAGATACAAAACGTTGTTTTAGAGATTTAAACTGTCAGATTCCACTGTGAGGAACATAGTGAGGGAATGGAAGACCACAGGGACGGTTCTTGTTAAGCCCAGAAGAGGCAGGGCAAGAAAAATATCAGAAAGGCAGAGAAGAAGAATGATGAGGATGGTCAATGACAACCCAAAGACCTCCTCCAAAGACCTGCAGCATCATCTGGCTGCAGATGGTGTCACTGTGCATCGTTCAACAATTCAGCGCACTTTGCTCCAGGAGAAGCTGTATGGGAGAGTGATGTGACAGAAGCCTTTTCTGCAAGAACGCCACAAACAGAATCGATTGAGGTTTGCAAAAGCACATTTGGAAAAGTCAGCTTCATTTTGGAATAAGGTCCTGTGGACTGATGAAACAAAGATTGAGTTGTTGGGTTATTAAAAAAGGCGTTATGCATGGCGGCAAAAAAACATTTGCTACCCGCTGTAAAATTAGGTGGAGGTTCCATCATGCTTTGGGGTTGCGCTGCCAATGCTGGCACTAGGAATCCTGTTAAAGTTGAGGGTTGCATGGATTCCCCTCAATATCAGCAGATTCTTGAAAAAAATGTTCAAGAATCAGGAAGTTGAAGTTACGGCAGAGATGGATAATGTTTAAAAAAAACGCTCCAAATCTACTCAGGCATTCATGCAGAGGAACAATTCCAATGTTCTGGAACAGTTCTCCCAATCCCCAGACCTGAATATCATTGAGCATCTGTGGGATGATTTGAAGCAGGCTGTCCATGCTCGGCAAACATCAAACTTAACTGAACTGGAATTGTTTTTCTAAGTAGAATGATCAAAAATCCCTTGATCCAGGATCCAGGAACTCATTCAAAGCTACAGGAAGCGACTAGAGGCTTTTGTTTTTGCAAAAGGAGGATCTACTCAATATTAATGTCTCTTTTTTGCTGTGGTGGCTATATATTTGCACCGGTCAAATTTTGTTTTAATGTGTACTACACATTTTCTGTTGGTCCAATAAACCTCAATTCAATAATGAAATATGTCTGCGTCCATCAGTTATTAGTAGTGATGTAGTGAGATGAGCCGCGGCTTCAAAGCGTGTGTCGTATACTGGAGGGGGCGTTTTGGCGAGGTGCGTATGGAGGCTTGCTTCATTTGGTGGAGGAGCAAAAATAGACGACGTCCAAAGCCTCACCACCCTGCCGTACCACGTGACCGCTTCAGGAAGTGGTTCAGCTCGCCCGGAACTTCTGCAGGGAGAGCTGCTGTCAGTTGGATAGAGTTTGGATAGATTCTAAGAATAGAATAGTTGGTTAAAACTAGTTTGGTTATATCAAACAAAGTAATGATCAAATTCTGAGTGAACCACTGGTCACAGATGTAATGGGTTATAAGTAGTATTGCTTTAACAGCTGTTGTCACCTTGCTAGCGCGTCAGCTATAGGAGATGGACTTCCACTCTTGAGGTGGATTGTTCAAGGCCAACATCAGACTTTTGAAAGTTGTGATAAAACTTTTTTTTTTTTTGGCTAATGTGACTAATTTGTATTGGTTTGCTTTGGTACAAATATAGATAGGGTAAAAAAAGCCTGCTAAAATTAGATTGGTTGGTTTGACCAAAAGGTTGGTCAAACACAAAACTTCCAACCTGATTAAAACAAAAACCTTCTGAAAAAACTATTACGCTTGAATAAAATGACACACCTTTCCTTTTGTTCATCAATGTTTCACTGTCTGCTTGAGATTACTTCACTAAAATAGCAGAAAAACTGTGCTTTTTCTCTTCTGAGACATTTTACACATAAAAAAAAAAAATACAAAAGATTTTATTATACAGACCAATCATGAACAATTTCAAAGGAACTTATATGGGGGGGGACAAGCAAAACAATTGCATCATATATATATTACTAGCTGTAGTTCAGAACTCCACCAGTAGGTGGCGACAGGTTCACATGAGGCTTCATGAACTGTGGGGATCATTGAAGCAGTTTGGCCAAACGGTTCAGAGTCTCCTGAGGCTGCATCTCACCATCACTAGTTATTAGATATATTAAACTGAAAAAAACTGTTACAAACACCAACATATTTAGAAATAAAAATAATTAAGATTAATAGGGGTGCCCAGACTTTTTCATATGACTGTAAGACAGGCCAAGTCTGCACAGGAGCTGAAGGTTCTTCTTCATGAGGAACCTTTAAGTCAGGAAGTCCTCTACATCCTGGGCAGCAGAAGACCTGATCTGTTCCCAGTGAACAGCTGGCTGAAAGACAGATGTTTCTCCATTTGGGGGGTTAATGGTTGACATATCTCTGACTGATCTGACCCTAAGGACCCCTTTCAGCCCACTGATATATCTTTAGACCCGCCCCTGGTTAGAGAGTCGTTCCTGATGGCGTTTCTGTAAAACTCGATTGAGACTCCAGCTCGATAGAAAGCAAAGACACCGGCTGGGAGACGCACAAGGTTGTGTTTACATGGACTCACCTTCAGCATCTCTTTCCTCCTCTCTTCTCCCGGGGAAATGACGGACCACATGCCGTAGCCCAGTCCCATGGCAGCCATGGCCGCTGAGGAGATCAAGATAGTTCGCATGCTCATCCTGGACGGCTTCTGAGGTCTCTGAGCTGCTGTTTGCTCTCAGTCTGATGCTTTCATAATAATGTCTGACAGAAGCAGCAGCGGAAGCCCGGAAATGCTCCTCTATCTCATGCCTTCAGCGGCGGGTGGCAAACAGCCTCTTAGTTCCACACTGCCACCTGTAGGAGCGGAGGGGGATTGCTCTGGTTAAGCCTGTAATCTGTGGAGCTGATTAGTTTGCAATCTGAACGTGAAGGTCATGGTGTGTGTGGCCTCTCTAATATGCAGCGGACATAAATATTTCTCTACTATGAAGACCCAGATATTGCAAGTCGATTTTAAACAGTTGGTTAAGGAGAGACATTTCTTTATTTGGTAGAGTGTTATTGCCCAAAATGGAGGGTCTATCTAGAATAACTTACCCGGCCTCTTCTTTGCCAGTATCAAGGGAGTTAATCAAGAGAACTAATGATATTCTTCTGAAATTTATTTGGAGGAATAGATGCCATTACATTAGAAAAGAGTAGACGATGTTGTTAAATCACTGGTTGAAGGAGGACTAAATGTTATTGATTTTGATGTAATGAACGGGGTCCTTAAATTAAAACGGCTAAAAGGTTTTCTCAAAAATAAAGATTCTTTTTGGTTTACAATCCCCAATTTTATCTTTGGAAAAATGGGAGGAATGATTTCCTTTTTCGGTGTGACTTTAGTTGTAATTAATTGCAAATCAAACTCTCCGCGTTTCATCAGTAAGTACTCTTGTATTGGAAATTGATTTACAAACATAACTTTACTCCACACAACATTCCTATTTGAAACAACAGATATGTATTGGTCAACAGAAAGTCAGTATTCGAAAGGGAGTGGTATGCTAAAGGCATCTGGTCTGTTGGTCACTTAATGGATTCAGAGGGGAACTTTTTGGATTTTGGTTGTTTTTGTGCGCAGTACAACCTAAATTGTTCCTAAAAACTGTATAACAAACTTTTAAAATCTATACCTTGTTCTTTTAGATCTGTAGTTAAAAATATTTTGTTATACTCGGACATTTCCCCTATACTGAGATCACTGCAGATCGAAGGTATTCAGATCCAGGATATTAGATGTAACAATAAGATGTTGAGGAATTTCCTTTTAAAAGAACTTTTCCCAAATCCAATTAGAAGACATTACATTTTAAAGGACTTTACAGCAAATCAGATTATTAAAATAAGAACTAATTACTAATTACTAACTTACCCTCAGCCACCAAAAGCGAAAGAGAGGCAATTCAAAATTATCAATGAAATATATCCAACTAAAGAATTTTTGACTTCTAAGTTTAAGCTTGATATATTGTGTTTTTTGCATGAGAAACGTTGAGAGTTTGAAACATTTTTTTTTGTGAACCAATCTTTAAATTCTGGAAAGATTTCCAAAGTTGGCTAATATGTAAGAACGTTGTTTTGTCACCACTATCTGACACAAGTATTTTATTTGGTTTAGAAAGTGAGAATAAGACTCTTGAATATTTAGGAAATTACCTTATACTGATGGGAACATTTTTAATTCACAGATGTAGGTATTTTAAGACAAAGCCCACTTATTGCCATTGGACTTTGATTTATATTATAAGTCTCTGAGACTAACTAATTCCAAACCCGCTGTCAAAGTATCATCCTTATTGGAAAACTTGAAGTTGATATAAAATTGTCCTTTATTTTTATTTTATTACTTTACTTCTGTACAGTTTTGTTATAATTTCATTTCAGACACAATTCAGGTGTGTAAATGGTGTAATGTTTGTGGTGTCTTGTTTCTGTATTATTTCATGGTATTTATTATTTATATACTTGCGTGATGATGCTCCATTTTACGAACTGACTTGATCTGTTAAGAAGTTGTTTTGAATTGAAATTCATATACATTTCGCCCTGTCATTGTTTTGTACTTTGTAAAATTTGCATTAAAATTTTAAAATAAAAAAATAAAAAAAAGACCCAAATATTCTTCTTCTTCTTGTTTTATGCAACTTTTTGCTGCATTACTGCCACCAACTGAAATGGAGTGGGGATCTGGATTAAACTAATCCAATATCCTATATTACTACAAAAGGAAACTAAATCCTCTTTAACAAATTAGTCTTTTCAGGATACTCAGTTCAATTCAGTTTATTTATATAGCACCAATTCACATTACATGTCATCCGAGGCACTTTACAGTAATTAGATCATCCAGTCAGATTGGTTCAAAGTTTTCTACCTAAGGAAAACCAGCTGATTGCATCGACTCATTGACTCAAAGGCAATCCCTCACACTAAGCATGCTTGTAGCGACAGTGGAGAGGAAATACTCCCTTTGAACAGGAAGAAACCTCCAGCAGAACCAGGCTCAGTGTGAGCGGCCATCTGCTGAGGCCGACTGGGGTTCAAGGAGACAGAAGCAGAGATAGAAAAAGAAGCAGAGATAGAAAAGGCAACTGTCAACCAGCTTCATAGGAGCACATCCAGTTAGTCACAGTCAGAGAAACAGGACTACACTGAAAAACAGGCCAAGCTCCAAAATCTATAAACAAAAGTGTTGATGGCAGCAGCACAGCTGATGTTTCTCTCCAGGATGGAGTCACAGCCAAACAGGAACAGATGAGGCGATATGTCAATATCTCAATAATAAAGAAAAACCCTCTGATTTAGAGTCCAAATCTAAAAGGTGTTTCATGTTTAACGTTAAATTATTGGTTTGTAATCCATTCATCAATTAACTTCTCTCACTTACATATTTCAACTCAGATATTCTCTGCAAGAACAGAAAGATATAGACCAGATCTGCAGGAATAAAACAAATAGCCTTCTGTTGTTACTGATGCATCATCTTGGAAGGTTTAAAATGTAGGGTCAACAAAATTATTAATACTAAAGATAGAGGAGACTTTCAGTTCCAAAAAGCTATTTTCTTCTACCACACCCTAAAAATCATTATAAATTTAGTGATACAATTTTACATTAAACCAGAAATGAAATATGCTGGTGAAGATTCTCAGTCATCTTTTTTTGGAACATAAAGGAAATTGAATTCAAGGTTTTATTCATTTTCATATATACATGTTTTTTCTATAAAAAGTGATTTTTAATAATGCAATAAAGGTCTTTCAGAGATGTAAATGCTCTGACTTTCAGGCTTCCTTATGCTTGAATCAGTGCAACACAACATGGGGATCAACCAGTGACTCTACTGGGGGGGCCAGGGTGCTGTGCTGGTGGCCTTTAGATCAAGGTGGGACCTGGACTCCATCTTCAGTGACTCCATCGTTATCTGTTTTTTTTTTTTAGTTTGTTTTTTAGTTAATAAATATCAAGAAGACATAAAAATAAACAGTATCAACTTAACTTTGCAATATGTAAACACATCATAAGGATGTATTTCTCACCTCATTATAACAGAAAATCCAACCCATTACAGAGCATAATATTGCTTTTAACATTTTAGCAATAACTACTGACAATAAAGAAAAAACAATTTCACAAAACAAAACACTAGCTTCTCTTAAAGCTGTATTCAATAAATAGGACTCAGCAAAGGAAAGATTCATTGCCGGTTCTAGATAGGAGCCAGCGGAGGCCAGTGCCCCCGTAGAGCTGGTTCTGGCCCCTGTACAAAAGACATAATACTAAATACATTTATAATGGATATGCATTGGAACAGAAACCATCATGAAAAGGTTTCATATTTTTACCTTCATACTTTCCTTTTAAGAAATTAAAAATTAAGGTATTTCATTTTCACCCTGCAATGTACTGGCGACCTGTCCAGGGTTTATTCCACATCTCGCCCGTAGAGACAAGCACCAGCTCCCCTTGTGACCCAGTTTAGGATTTAGCATGTAAGAAAATGGATGGATGGTATTTCATTTTCAGCTTCAGTCGTATTGTGACTAAATCACCATTTTTTGTTGTGCATTAACCACAGAGTTCAGCCCAATAACCGATGTTTAGAAAGCATGACATGCTGATTCTTATAATAATATCTTTCTTTTTATAATCATTTTATATTTGTTATGTGATCATGATACACTTTTAAAGTTTTAATCGGTTTCAATTTCAAGTATCCGATAATCAAACTCCCAAAATTAAGGAAATCAGGGCTGATAAATCAGTTATCCCTACTACTTAATCTGTTACTGTATAATAAAAATATATTAAAAAAATACTTTATAATCCCACAGCCTTAGACAACTTTTATTGTGGTTTTGTATGCACTCTGTGACATTTCGTTTTGTACAGCTCTCAGAACATTTTAATTTCTTAAAGTGCAGCAGTGATAGGGGTATAAAATATCCTGAGTCTGCAGAGCCACAATCAGCTCTTATTTCAAACATCAAAGTGAACCAATGTCCTGTTTATCATTATATGCTTCTGCTCTATGCCTCCATGAAAAAACATTGGCCCCATCCTGAGCTTCAGGTGTAACCACTGGAGAGGGGATAACTTTATTACCTTTATTCAAAGGTTGAAATAACATTAAAAGTGATCAATTAACAAATAAATAAATAAAGCACTATAATAGTAATTAAAATGATATGCAGAGATGAAAAAGAAAGGAGGGATTAGTTTATTAAATCATCTGTAATGTTAATCAGTTAAACCCACTGATCCCTTTCTATTCACTGGATTGCTGATTGCCCGTTGGTAGAACGGGGGTGAAGTGAAGCCACCGGCCGCCATATTGGTGCTCCCTAGTTAGACCGGTCGCAATCTAAATCTGAGACAGTGCGCTACAGCATCGAACAACGATGATGTTCTCATTTTCAGGGAGACCTAAGACTTTAAAAATACAGATAAATTCACCACTTTGACACAGACTGGCTGTTTCATAGCATCAATAGATTACTTTAACTTAGAATAAAAAAAATAGGCACATCACATTGCAGAGTCATTATGAAGTCAATTAAGTCTGTTAATCATGTAATATAACATATTATACAAATCCATCATGAGAAAATTAATAAGTTAATGGAGCATAATATTACAGATATGTCAAAAGTGCGAAAAAGATGATGTTCACATGGATTTAATACATTGTTATGGTAATTATTTCTTACATGTCTGGTTATGCATGCAACATATATAAACACTACAAAACGTATATATTTATTTCCTATTTCCTTGGTTCGTTCATCCACTGACTGTGACATAATCTGTAAAGTCTTCCTACATCCAGCAAACTGCTGGTTTTAGCAGCCAAATGCTGCACAGGGAGACATTTTTTACTGCGTGTCTTTGTGGGAGTGGGGAGTACCAACATGGCGGACGGTGGCTTCACTTATTTCGGCCAATCAGGGTTCCAGTGAATAAATAGAGATCAGTGGTTAAACCTGCTTGTTGCTTAAAAACTTGATCAAATTGTGAAGGACGGAGCGCATGAAGTTTGGCCCAAACAGCAGCAGCAGGCTTCCTGCAGTGGTGTGAATAAAAACACGCTGCTGGTTCCGATCCTGGTGAATCAGCGGCCAGATAGAACCAGACCCAGAACACACTGCAGCGCCCCGCACCGCTGCGCACCTATAGTGCGCATGCGCGGGAGGAGGCGGGGGCAGCATTTCCGGATACGACATGTAATATGAAGGCTGTTGTCCTGGTGAGGCATCGGTGAAACACTTCAATAAACCAATGATTCCTATTTGTCCAGTGGTCTCCTTCACCTATGGTGAGTATCTCTAGCAGCTCGGACATGTTTTAGAAGCATTTCTTCTGGCTTGTAGATGTTTGAAAGCTGCCGAGCATCATGAGTAACTATGCTAACGGCTAGTCCTTGAAGCGCTGATCGCCTCCTGCTGTCTGTCCTCTGCAGTGCCCAGCCGGCTTGGTGAAGATGCCAAAATGGCTACCGGCAATTATTTCGGATTTACACATGGCGCCGCAGCTCAGTACAGGTAAGACACCAGTAGGAGGCCGTCTGTTTGGTCCAACCTTCTACCCCATGATGGATGCAGTAATATAGGCAACCAGTGCAGGATCTGTTCTGCTATTGTCCCAGAGGGGGGGAGGGGGCGCTGGTCCTTCTGCGTTTCTGGATGAAAGCCTAATCGGTCACTCTGTGCTCTGCATCTATTCAGTTTATTTCTATAGCGCCAATTCACGTTATCTCAAATCACTTTATAGTTCACCAGATCATCCAATAAATTGATTCAAAGTTTTCTATCTAAGGAAAACCAGTTGATTGCATCGATTCATTGACTCTTCAGCAATCCCTCACACTAAGCATATTTGTAGCGACAGTGGAGAGGAAAAACTCCCTTTTAACAGGAAGAAACCTCCAGCAGAACCAGGCTCAGTGTGAGCGGCCATCTGCTGAGGCTGACTAGGGTTCAACGAGACAGAAGCAGACATAGAAAAAGAAGCATAGATACAAAAGGCAACTGTCAACCAGCTCCACAGGAGCATATGCAGTTAGTCACAGTCAGAGAAACAGGACTACACTGAAAAACAGGCCGATCTCCAGCATCTATAAACAAAGGTGTTAATGGCAGCATCACAGCTGATATTTCTCTCCAGGATGGAGTCACAGCCAAACAGTAAAAGCGAAGCTACTATGATGAGAAAAAGCAGAGAGAGCAGAACGTTAGAGATTGGAATAACAAATTCTAGGTGAATACAGGTGGAATAAAGCAGAATGATGGAAAAAGGGGACCCAATGTCCTCCAGCAGTCTAAGCCTATAGCAGCATACTGAAACAAATAATGCAACTGCTTTTGTAATCATATTTAGTTACTCTAACCCAATTGTTTTATGTATTACCATGCTACTTTCACACAATTGTGTTAAAGTAACTAAATATGATTAAGAAAATGCCAAGTACTGTTGCATTATTTTTTTTCTGTGTATAGAGATAGCTCCTGATAACCTGAGCCACTCTACAATGAGAAAAAGCAGAGAAAGCAGAATGTTAGAGATTGAACTAACAGATTCAGCAGAGTGGGAGAATAGAGATAGAATGAAGCAGAATGATGAAAAAGGGGTCCCTATGTCCTCCAGCAGTCTAAGCCTATAGCAGCATAACTATAGAGATAGCTCAGGATAACCTGAGCCACTCTAAGGCCCCGTCCACACGAAGCCGAACCCTGGCCTAAACGCACAAATTTTTCACGAAGCCGGCGTTTCGGGGGTCTGTAAACAATCTTTTTTTTATTCAGCCTTCAGAGTGGGAAGATTCTGAAACGCCGTTTTCGCATTTCCATCTTTAAGCTCTAACCGCACTTTTTTTTTTTTACACGCATGCGTCATAGCGTCGCCTCTAAACACGCATGCGCGACACAGTATCACAACAACAATGGCGCCGTACTGTGTTGAATGGTTGCTGCTCATGCTACTCACCCTGCTGTCGGGCTTACAACAGAATCTTCTTCTTCTGGAATATCTCCAGGAAGAACAGAGCAATATCGACCACATAGTTCAGCACCTGAATTTGACTGAACCACGAAAATGGACCCGCAGGGCAACCATGTATAAATATTAGTGCGCATGCCCAACATTTCGTCGCCTATTTTTGCTTTGGCACCACAGCGCCACTTACAGGCCTGGCATACATTTTGCAGCGTTTTCATGCATTCGTGTGGACGATCACATTTATTTTACGTCTCCGTCTTTACGACAAATGTTCTGGAAAATATTAGCGTTTCGTGTTCGTTTTGACTTCGTGTGGACGGGGCCTAACTATAAGCTTTATCAAAAAGGAAAGTTTTAAGCCTAGCCTTAAAAGTAGACAGGGTGTCTGCCTCACGGACTAAAACTGGTAGTTGGTTCCACGGGAGAGGAGCCTGATGACTACAAGATCTGCCTCCCATTCTACTTTTAGAAATTCTAGGAACCACTAGTAAACCTGCAGATTGAGAGCGAAGTGCTCTGTTAGGAACATAAGGAACAATCAGATCTCTGATATCAGATGGAGCATGGCCATTTAAGGCTTTATATGTGAGAAGGAGGATTTTAAATTCAGCTTCTATCTTAAAACCTGAGAAGGAGTTAAAATCCGCCCTCAAACCGTGTCGGAGAGCAAATGAACCGGAGACACTGGTCTTGACTAGGGGGATTTTTTTTTTTTTTTAAACCTTTAGTTATCTTTAAAAAATGTGTGAAATGTAAAACTGCGTCAGTGGAGCTGACAGGAACAGAGCTCGGCTTAATAAAAGCACATTTAGTCTCTGAGAGGTTGTTTTGTGCCCAATCTTCACACCAGAGCAAAAATAATTACCAAGTCATCCCACTGCAAAGGACTCTTTTCTGTTCACCCTTTTCTAATTAACCGTGGCAGGCAAACCTGGCCTCTGTGTTTCCCAATTCAGGCCTTGCTTGCATAGTGTAAATATACCTGTCTCTTAAATTAGCTCTTTACTTTGTGTTCCTGGACAAAGCATGATACGTTCAGGTCCCTGCTTCAGTTATAGTAAACCTGAGCTGCAGTGGGCTCCAGCAGAGTCACTAAAGTTGCTCATAAAAACATTTTTCTGTTGTTTTTATTTTTTTCTTGCCACATTCTTTCCAGTTATGCGTTCAGGAAGGCTGCCAGCACTAATCTCTCACAGTTTTAGCACAGAGGCTCATTTAAAATGAGTGTTGAACCTTTTCAAAATAATATTTTTTGCTACTGTAATTGGGGAAAGCATGTAATGAGCTATATAATATAATGAAACAAAACATGCAGAAATAGTAGTCCTAGCCTGTATACGTGAGGTTTTGAGTTAGAATCCGCCCTCAAACAGCGTCAGAGGCTAAATGAACTGGAGACACTGGTGTTTTTCCATAGTAAAACCTTATGTTGTAAAACTGCGTCAATGGCACTGATAGGAGCAGAGCTCAGCTAAACATGATACAGACTCTTCATCAGGATGAAGATGAGCTGCATCAGGTCCTTCCTTCTTCCTGCTGTAACCTGCAGCTGGTCAGAAGTTCAATTCAGTTTATTTCTATAGCTCCAATTCACAACACGTCATCTCAAGGCACTTTCCAGTTCACCAGATCATCCCGTCAGATTGATACAAAGTTTTCTATCTAAGGGAAACCATTAGCCTGGGTGCCATTCCGAACTTAGTCCCGCCCACAAGGTTTGAGTTCGGGGAAGTTCGGTCTGGCTCTGCTCCATAGTAGCGTGAGTATTATCGCCTACTGTCAGGCGATCCAATCAAATTGTCAGGGCGGGCTTTATACGATGATGGACAGATGATCAAGAGTAACGTAATCAACCACGTGACCAAAGCGCGCTTGGGTGACAACAACAATGGCTGCCGCTGGAGAGTTTGGATGAGTAGATTCTGCTATTAGGTCTGTTCTAGAAGATATCGACAGCAAATTAATTTTAAAAGAGGAACAGAGAAACGCGATCAAGTCTCATCTTCTTATTCTAGGCGTGCAACTGCACGCTTTGATTTTTGTGGACAACAACTATGCCTCGCTTAACATACGTCACGCACTCCGTTGCTCTTATTGGTTGTAGGTCTATCCAATTGAGTGCAGAGGCATTTTTTTTCCTGGTTCGTTCGAAACACGCCCCATAATCACAGCTCTATGGAGCAGAATCAGACTCATATTCTGACTAGAATTGAGTCGGACTACGTCAGGCTAGGAAACCATTGACTTATTTTACCTCCAGAGGTTTCGTAAAGGAAGCTCTAAATGGGAAAAAACCTGTTAGTTTAAAGAATGAGAACAGAAGGCCTGGGATAATTTATGCCCTCAAGTTTACAACAAAATTGAGAAAAAATGTATGAAGTGGGGAGTACCAATATGGCGGCCACTCTTTTTGGGATATCGGCAATCCAAAATAACCAGTGAATAAATAGAGATCAGTGGTATCTGAAATAACATTCATACCAGAAAAAATCGTGTCACCTTCTTTTTCTGACATACGAAGTGACATATCTCATCTCTAAAAATAAATATGAATAAAAATGAATTTCAGATCTCCATAATCCAGTCGTCGTAATTGAAATGTGATCCTTTTCTCCTTCTAGCCAGCAGCCAACTGCAGGGGTAGCGTACACTCATCCTACCACTGTGGCCAGTTACACAGTTCATCAGGCTCCTGTCGCTGCCCACACTGTGGCAGCAGCCTATGCTCCGACTGCTGCCGTCGCCGTGGCGAGGCCTGCGCCCGTCGCCGTGGCAGCCGCGACTGCTGCAGCCTATGGGGGATACCAGCCAACCCATGCTACAACTGATTACGGCTACGCGCAGCGCCAGGCGGAGGTCCCTCCACCGCCTCCACCCGTCACCTCTCAGAACTACCAGGTAACCGCCATCTTTTTTGTCCCACGGCTATAAGCTAATGGATACAAGCTGAACACAGTTATTGACCTGCAATCCTGATCATTTGATATAAAAAAATAGGTTTTTATGAATTGGATGCTTTTTGGTTTTTCTTAGAAATTCAGAAAAGTTCCAATCACTCTTTATCTATTAAAAAGGTCAATCAGAAGATATTTGTCCATTTAAAACAACCTCTTTATGTTCAGAGTGAACCCTACATGTTAAACATTGTCTGACAACAAAATATCTGCTGCTTCTCTGCTTTAGAAGATGAGGAAGCAGCCCTAAAGTTCTGCTTTTCTCTGCAGGACTCCTACTCTTATGTTCGCTCCACAGCTCCAGCTGTAGCCTACGACAGTAAGCAGTACTACCCGCAGCCGTCTGTCACCGCGGCCGTCGCTGCTGCACAGCCGCAGCCCAGCGTGGCAGACTCTTACTACCAGACAGGTATGCTCAGAGTTCCTAATCTTTCAGTAGAGTTTATTGGTGCGCCCTCAGCTGTTGCTACATATAAGATACAGACTTAACCGTCAGTCTTTGCTCCTTTAAACTAGGGCTGCAACAACGAATCGATAAAATCGATAAAAATCGACTTTTAAAAGCGTTGACAACGAATTTCATCATCGATTAGTTGTGTTGTGCGATTATTGCGTCATCCGCCGCGCCGTCATCACTGCCTCTTGACTGAAAGAGGAAGAAAAAAAAATATGGCAGAGCGAGTCAGCGCCGCAGGTACAGTGTTGCCAACTCAGCGACTTTTCAGACCCCTCCAGCGACTATTTTTAAAAAAAACGACTAGCGACAAATCTGGCGACCTTTTTCGGTGTCACTGGCGGCTTTTGGAGACTCTTACGTGAAAGCATGTATCGTTCCTACTCTGCCGTGGGGCGCCTCCCCCCCGCTCCCGCAGGAGTCCCTCTCAGCGCTGCAGTCAGAGCCTCAGCGTCCAGACTGCAAATGAAGCGGGCATGCACCGGGATTGACGGCGCAAATTGATCACAATAATTAAAATAGCCTGCGCGTTGTAAAGCGAAAAAAGTGATAACATGCAACTTTTTTCAAAAGAAATTAACATGGCACGGAACCACCATGTTTGTTTGGTTTTAAAGTGGGGAAACGTAACGTTAGTTTCTCAGGTAGCTCATCTGATGCTTTCCTTACCGTGTTAGTAGGTTACAGACAGTGATAAGGTTGGCGACTTATTTTACTTTTAATTTCATTTGAATTAGCTTAAGCAGCGTTTACATTTACTTTATAAATAAATTAACTTGCAAATTATGAGGGCAAGGCTTTTAAAGTTTAAATCTTCTGGCAAAGATAAAGTAAAGAAGATCCTGCAATTTATGGAAGTAAAGCAGAATAAAATCCAGCAAGATCAGTAATATGTCAATTAATTATATGCCACATTCCCATGTAAATTGGAGTCTTTGGAGGATGTGTTTTTTAGCTCCCCTAGTTCTCTCATTTTTATTCCAAATACAATTTATAATTTGAATCACAGGGCTATTTTTATCTCTATGGTTCAGTATTTTCTCAAGCAGCAACTTTAACTGCTATACTTTCCTGTCTTAAAAGGCAGAACTCTTCTAGTCTAAAAAAACTCATTTGTTTAAATGGGGGGCCCTATTGTTTGAACCCCTTAGGGGCTTTTAAAAACAAAAATGTCTTTTTTTGCGCTTTATGAAACAAAGTACCCTATATTTTGTGGATGTACAGCTACATTTCTCATGTAAGTTTGCGTAGTTTTAACACAAACATTTATTTTTTCATATTGCACCAGTACAGTTAATGAGAAACCTGTACTTGTGTGCTTGTTTGTTCTGTCTAAAATGTTCATTTTGGAATAAAGAGGTTAATATAAAAAATATTTTTTGTCCGATTCATCGATTAATCGAAAAAATAATCGGCCGATTTATCGATTTTTTAAATAATCGTTAGTTGCAGCCCTACTTTAAACCTAAATGTACAATCGTGAAACCTTTCCTACTTGAAATGTCTCCAGTCTTTCAAATTAGGGGAGTAAATAAATCAATTCTATGATGGACGAGCTAATCCCTTTGATGAAAAAATAAACCCATTGGTTCCCATCATCATATTTTATAACCCTTTCCCACTGGCTGAAAAACCTTGAACCTGGTAACAATTAGAGGTGAGTATTGGCATTAGGGTTGTCACGATACTAAACTTTTCAACTCGATACCGATGCTAAGTAAAATATTCGATACTCGATACCCTTTTCGATACCAATGGAATAAATACAAAGACTCTAAAATTCAGCAGAAATATTTTCATTACTAAAAAAATACAAGAAATGAATAAAAAAACAATAAGAATAATATTTTGAGGTTGTATGCTGTGCACAATATTAAGCAAGCTTGATAAAAAACTTAAAATTAAAATTAAGTGTTCCTTCCTTGGCTAAAAGTGTTCCTTCCTTGGCCAAACCAGGTAAACAAAAATAACACTCGTCAGCTGCACCTGTTACAAAAAAAGTCTGAAACTGAAAAATGCACAGAATTATTCAATCACACAGTGTTCAGAAAGTGATTTTCCACTATTCTGCACTTTAGATGGCTGTATCGATACTTTTGAAAATGAGTATTGTATCCGGATACAACGTTTCAGTATCGATACTTTTTTGAGTATCGATACTTTTGACAACCCTAATTGGCATGAGTGTTGCGATTCGATACATGTCGCGATACTTGGGTCACGATACGATATTATCACGATATTGCAGTATCACTATATATTGCCATATTTTCCCCAGCTATCAAAATCAAATGATGAGATAAAACAGCAAGTGCTGTATATTTTGATCAGAAAATATTGATTAGGTATTATTTTCCATGTTGTTTGGGGTTTTCTTCCACTGAGACTGCCTCAAATACAGATTTGGTGCTGCACGCACAGTTAAAGGGCTCCACAGCGCTTTCTGCCAGAGTGGTGGTGCAGAGGTAGCCCATTTTCCCATCAATGTTTTATGTAACCATTTTTTTTTTTAAATGGATACTAAGAATTGAAAGATCGATATTATATTGGGCAGCAGAATATCACGATATATCGCCAAAACGATTATTTCTCACACCCCTAGTAACAATGAGCTTTTAGTAGCAGTGGGAACAGCTCACTGACGCGTGTCTACCGGGTCAAATGACTCAAAAAGCGGCTCGCGTTAAAATCACCTCAGCTGTGATCGGCACGCTGTGGTAACCCCAGGCCCACTAAATTACGTGATACCATTGAACGCAACGTATGGATGTTAACACACTGTACCAATCACTTCTGATCTAACAAGAAGAAAGATCTCTGTAAACATTCGATAAACGTGGAGCGGCTCTGGTGAGATAAAAGAACGAAACAATAAAGAACACCAACTACGCCCTGGCGTCCTTACATGCTGCTTTCCATTGTTTACTTTCCTGATTTCTGTCGAACTGGTGACATCATCAACGCTAACCCAGCGTGGTGATGTCATCAGACATGCAGCGTGCACGGGGTCAGAGGCCACACAGCTGCCGGCAAGGGGTTAGACCAGCTTTTTTTTGCCAGTGGGAAGGGAGCCAAATGCTCCAGCTTTTGGGAAGTGGATACGACAAACGATAGTCTGATCAGAAATTACAGACGCAGGAAACGAGATGTTGAGGTTCGTCACACTGCTAACTAGAATCATCAATGAAAATCGTGTGGCACGGTAGGGAAACTGACTGTGGGGAGATGAGGCGGTTTGATCATGTGCTCTTTATGTAAGAACTGAACCACGCTGAGCCCTACTGACGAACTACTACCAGTTTAGCACGGCTCGGTTGTGTCTTGCACAGTCCCGTTCAGTTTTGCGTATCATTTACGCTCAACAGTTATCTTGGTTACCGTGCTCAGACCAATCTAGGCACGGTTTCAAAAGAATGTATAAATAGGGCTTTTATTATTAATATCATTAGAATAATGCTATTTTAGTTTTCACACCTGATGTCTTTTAGAGCTTAGAAATAAAATGAAGAATCATATTTCTGTTTTTCTTTGACTTGATATCGGTTTAAATAATTCTGTGTGTAGATTTTATCGCAGTATATAGACCGTAAGCTTTTAAACGGTATCCTTAGACACTTTTTGATCTTGCGAACATCGCATCGTCATCTACATATCATCATGTCGGGATAGAGCTGCTGATTTATGGTTCCAGTGAAATTCAAACAGTATAAATGGCAGGACCGGGTCCTCCTACTGCTGCCATAAAGAAGGCTCCTTCACAGCCTCCCTCAACCTGACGGGGGTCAGAGCTCAGGGCTGGTAGGAGCGTTTCAAAGGGGAATGGTTGAGGCCCCGTCCACACGAAGTCAAACCCTGGCCTAAACGCATACATTTTTCACCAAACCAGCCTCTCATCCATACGAAGCCGGCGTTTCGGGGGTCTGTAAACGATCTTTTTTTTATTAAGCCTTCAGAGTGGGAAGATTTTGAAACGCCGTTTTCGCGTTTCCATCTTTAAGCATTTTTTTTCTTGCACGCATGCGTCATAGCGTCGCCTCTAAACACGCATGCGCGACACAGTATCGCAACAACAATGGCGCCGTACTGTGTTGAATGGTTGCTGCTCATGCTACTCACCCTGCTGTCGGGCTTACAACAGAATCTTCTTCTTCTGGAATATCTCCAGGAAGAACAGAGCAATATCGACCACATAGTTCAGCACCTGAATTTGACTGAACCACGAAAATGGACCCGCAGGGGGTTTTCCGGTTTGGTTGTTGTATAAATATTAGTGCTCATGCCCAACATTTCGTGGCCTGTTTTCGCCTATTTTTGCTTTGGTATGCCTGGCACAGGCCTGGCATACATTTTGCAGCGTTTTCATGCATTCGTGTGGTCGATCACATTTATTTTACGTCTCCGTCTTTACGACAAACATTCTGGAAAATATTAGCCTTTCGTGTTCGTTTTGACTTCGTGTGGACGGGGCCTGAGACTATGGCAGGTTTGCCAGTGATGGCGTGTCTGATTAGCAGTGGGCCTTTTGGTGCGCTTGTTGTGCATGGCGGGTCGACAGAGGCTGAGCAGATTTTCCATCAGTTCCGTTCTGTTTTAAGTTCGCCATCTTGGCTGCATTAAATCTGTATTTCTGTCTTGTTTTTTGCTTCTAGCTCCCAAACCGGTATACAGCCAAGGTGTGACCTCGTACACCCAGAGCCAGCAAAACCGCCAGGTGACCGTCATAAAGCCCGCCGCTGCCAGTCCAGCTTCATCCACCTTCTCCATCTTCCCTGTGACCTCCACCGTCCAGCCGGTGGCGGCCGCAGCCTCGGTCGTTCCCTCTTACTCCCAGAGCCCAACATACAGCACCAACGCCGTCACATACTCTGGTAACTTTTCCATCATCAGAGCCACCACTGGCCCCATGTTCTCAACCAATAGTCACCCTCATAGTTAAGGCAACACTTAAGGTTTTTGGCCTGATGATAAAGTTGGTGTTTAAAACCGCTGGAATGCTGGTTGCAGCTCGTCATCTCACTCTGCAACTAATTAACCTTTGACATATAAAAAAAGTTGTTGTCTTAAATATTTTAAGATCATTTAAATATTTATTTTGTGTCTAAAGTGAACTGCAGAGCTAACATTCTACCCTGAACACCTTTATGAAGACTCTGATGGTTGGGTGTTATTAAAGCTCTTCTTTCTGCAGCCGTAAAGAAGTAAACACAGTTTATAAATTCAAGCAGGGACCTTCTCTTCACTGGATGTTAGCAGACAGCTGTCAGAACTGATGCCTCTCTCCTCGCTGACACTAGTAGGACTGAGACCCAATATGTCTTCCTTTATAGCTAAGAGAGAATCTTCTAGTGACCTAATGGACGTGTTTCTCTTGTAAAATTATGTTTTACATTTGTAGGTAATCGTTGCTCAAAACGAAAGATGAATCTTGCAAAAAATTGAGGGATTAATGCTACGTTCACACGTAACAGGCTTCAGGCAGCAGAAGCAGCAGGGGAAAACCTCCAAGAGGCGACTGGGCAGCTGCTGCTTGAGGTTCCCAGTTACAGCGCAACGCCGCTATGTGGGGGCCTGAGCGGCTCCAAATAATATTTTAAGGAAGGATGGTAATCTGGTTTTCAGGTGCACTTTCTCACTTAGAGATATATTAAACTAACTTTTTACCCACTGATCACAGCAGATATAGCAAAGCTGCTCTCTGCCATTGAACACAGGAGCAGCAGAACAATCAGGCGTGTCTGGACACAATTTACTGGGCGCTAGGGTTAGTGTTTGATGTGCTTCAGGAGAGTCAAAGCTGCTCTAGAGGCATGGTGTGAGCGTAGCATAAGAAATAATCTGCAGTTAAGCATCAGTTTATTGGTTCAGGTCATGATTTGTTCTTAGAATCAACTTTCCTACCAAACAAGCCCACTCATTAGACTCCATCGAACAGGTTTAAGTTCCCTTTTCTGTTGTTGTTCCTCGATCCAAACTATAATCTGAAACCTGGCGGACGTCTTAAACGAGCCCCGCCCACCAGTAACCACGGGGAGTGATCAGGATTCATGTGATGCTGTGTTTCTGCTCCAGGAACCTCCTACTCGGGCTACGAAGCAGCCGTGTACTCTGCAGCCTCCAGCTACTACCAGCAGCAGCAGCAGCAGAAGCAGGCGGTAGCAGCGGTGGCAGCGACGGCCGCCTGGAGTGGAAACACGTTCAATAAGAAGCCCACCTTCCAGAACAAGCAGCTCAGACCCAAGCAGCCACCTAAACCCACTCAGATACACTACTGTGACGTCTGCAAGATCAGCTGTGCCGGCCCCCAGGTAAGTCTGCACTACTGATGCTGCTAGCGTCATGGCTATCTGAACGCTGCTAAAACTCAGCAGAGAACCACCGTGAGGCGTTCAGAGTCACCAGCAAAGACTCCTTTCTAAACGTGTCTGATATATTTGGCATACATTCCATTATCACCTCCATCCCAACATCAGACCTACAAGGAGCATCTGGAAGGCCAGAAGCACAAGAAGAAGGAAGCCGCGCTGAAGGTGTCTCAGGGCAGCAGCAGCAGCAGCAGTGGAGGAGGAGCGTTGGCCCGAAACGCTCAGAACCAGCTTCGCTGCGAACTCTGCGACGTTTCCTGCACTGGAGCTGATGCGTACGCCGCCCACATCCGAGGAGCCAAGCACCAGAAGGTTCGGTTTATTCCCATCTCTCACACGCCTCGGTTCAACGCCTCACATCTGCTTTCGTTAGAAAGCTGAAATGTTCTGGGTTCTTGTTCCAGGTTGTGAAGCTTCACACCAAACTGGGGAAGCCCATCCCCTCCACAGAGCCCAGTATGGTCGCTCAGACTTCCGCCTCCAGCGCGTCTGCTGCTGGTAAGACCACCCTGAGCAGTTCCAGCGCTGCCAGCACGTGTCTGTCCTCCACCTCCAGCTCTGGCGCCCCCTATCTGAAAGCTGTCGGTACAACCAGCAGCGGTGCGGCTGCTAATAAAAACCCGGCGAGCGGCGGCCTCTCTGCTGCCGGCTCTGCATCTGCTGGGAAGAAAATCGGCGCCCCCAAGATTAATTTTGTCGGTTGGTGATCGTTCTCTGTTCTGATCCTTCCATTTTAGCCTCATTTAGATTTTTAGCTTCTTTTATTTGATGTTTTTCCTTTTTTTTATATAATCCAGCTGGAAGTAAATTACAGACCACGTCAAAGATGGAAGAGACGAGAGAAGAAGGGAAAGGCGATGTCACTAAGCCCGCCACGCCCTCCTCTGGCTCCCCAGACGCTAAATCTGATGCCTGTGACTCTCTGTCGGCCTCGGCGCTCATCGCCCTGCAGAGTGACGTCCAGCCTGTGGGCCACGACTACGTCGAGGAGGTAAGTCTTTATCAGAGGTGTCAGAAGTATTAATGTTTATTACTCCAGTAGAAGCATAAATCCCACTGTTTAAAAAACACTATTGTAGAGGTTAAGAGGATCAACTTTATCGTTTTACTCAACTAAAAGTGTAAAAGTAGCATTTTTTAAAACTACTAGAAGTAAAATTAATGCAGGAAGAAATGTTGAGGACACAAGCTTTATTGCACTACCCTCCTATCATTCTGGATGATAACTTCCTTATACTTAAGTTTTTTAACTAAACTGCAAAAAAATTTTATCTACATATTTGTTCTTTAAATACTTTTTTTCTGGAAATGAGCAGGTAAGTGAAACACTGCTAACAGAATAAGACGATTTACATTTAAAAATAGAAAAACCAGCTGCAGTCTCTTATTTCAAGTCCATAATAATTAATTATCTTTAAGGGTAAAAATGCTCATTCCATTGGGAGATCATCTTACTTTCCTACTCAAATTAAGGGAATAAAAATTTTATTTCCAGAATGATTTTGCAGTTTAATGCTAACAGTATCAAATTTAATTTGACATTATCTTGAAGAACTATTTATTTTGGTGCAGCACCGTTTACAACCAAAAAACAAATTTTCTGGATGAAATAACTTATTTTAATGGTTTTTGTTTTATACCAACAGGCCATAACAACATTATCTTATATGAAACAAAACAAAAATAACAACTCTATTGTTAGAATGTAAGCAGTAGAAAGTAGAAATATACAAAAATGTAAGGAGTAGATTTAAAATGTTGTCTAAAAAATAATTACTGCAGTAAAGTATTTGTACTTTGTTACTTGACACCTCTGGTCTTTATGAACTTAATCCTGCAGACGCTCAGCTGCTCCTCTGGATTCGAGTTGTTTTCTCAGTGTTACTTGAATGTTTTCCTGTAGGTGAGGAACGATGAAGGGAAGGTGATTCGCTTCCACTGCAAGCTGTGTGAATGTAGCTTCAATGATCCCAACGCCAAGGAGATGCATCTGAAGGGACGGAGGCACCGCCTGCAGTACAAGGTAAGACACTGACCCTTGGAGACACACATGGAGGCTGGTTTCTCCTCTGATGCTCAGTATTCAAGCTCCTTACAGGAGCCCTAAAGTGTAAGTAGATAAAAAAATATGTATATATGTATATGTTTTTTGAAAGCCTTATTTTGGAAGTGGTCGTTATTGGACAAGACATCCCATTGGGGATGTAACTAACGATTATTTTGCAAATCAATGAATCTGTTCGGATTAATAATCAGATAGCAAAAAGTTCCTTAAAGAGGATCTTTACAAAATTAAACCGGGTGAAACTGAAAATGTTCGTATTTCTTTACAATCTTGATATAATAACCGCTCTGTCAGCTAAAAGCGAGTTTTACAGTCTGCATACTCCAGTTAACAATTACTAAATTAGTTGATGGTTATTTTAATAATCGATTAATAATGAATAATCCGGTTATTTCAGCTCTACATCCTATTAAATATCTACAAATAATGCAATAAGACTGAAGTTTCTGCAAGATCTAAAATGCAGAAAAACAAATAAAATGATTAAAAAAACAAGAAATTCTTGTTAAAGAAAAACTTTTCTGAAGCCATTTTATTTTCCAACACAAAACCTGTGGTTGTAATCTTCATGGTGAAAACCTTATACACGTTAGAAGGTAAAGCCAGTAAGAGGAGCGATACATCACGAGAATAGAACTTAAATAATAGTGAGAAGTACATTAGAGGAAAATGACTCCTATTACAATAACAGCCACTTTTCAGGGCTGAACAGAAACAAACTAAATAAATATTTTCTTTCCCCGCTTTCCTATCAGGGATGAAAGATGAAATATTTCCAAATATTTTAGTCTGTATTGAAAAATATTTCCCTACATGTTTCCAGGGTTTTCATAAGCTTGTTGTCTTTCTATCTCTGATCCTGTTTTTGATCATCCTAACAGAGATGAGGTGAGATGAGACTGGCTGGTTTTTAGAAACTCTTGATGATGATTAAAGGAAAAGTCCAGTCAGCACGGAATAATCAATGGATCATTATTTATATCTAAAACTAATACATTCGCTGTGATTTAATTAATTTAGCGATAATCAGTAAAAAAAATATATATATTTTTGTCTGGGAGTGGCCATTTTTGCCCATACATAGCAACACCTCATGCCTGCCATCTTCCAGCAGTGACGTCACGGTGCGGTAAGCCTAGCGCCATTCTCCCCGCTTTACAAGCAAAATCAATGGGAAATACTAGACACATCTGCAATCAACAACAATTATTGAAGATTTCCAGAGGACTTCTTCCAGAGGACTGGATGTTGGAATACATCGGGTAAAAGGGGAAAAAACTTTAGTTATTTGACCTTCATGATTCATGATGCCATCGAACTTCTGGCCAGAGAAAAAACCTGTAATATGTAGCCAACATTTGGAAGAAGAATGTTTTAAGATGACTTGGATAATAGCGCGTTGTGACAAACACCAGATACAGCACTGGGACTTGCTCAACAGCCGATACCGCACCGTGACGTCACAAACCAGTAGGTGGCAGTAGTGTTCTTTGACAAACATGGATGCCTCCAGTAAAGCACATTCAAATGAAATGAAAACACTCATCATTTATTGAACAGTTGGTAATAATTTCATATTTAAAGTACTTTTAAAGTTTGAATTCTAAATGTGACCCGACTTCTCCTTTAAGTTGGATGATTGAATCTCCAGGTTTGAATTGTGGTCCAGTAAGGCGGTTCTGTAGAACAATGCTGGTTCTGTTAAAATTCATATCATGACTCTGAAGACTGATCAACGTCTGCAGGTTTACGGAAACTAAAATAAACATTGATCTATCCAGTGTGATACGCTTTCTAAGCTGTTTAACACCTTAAATATTACTACATATTCCTATGTTAAAACTGGTACGTTTAGTTCAAAGTGAAACAGAAGACGGCCTTCTGTGAATTACAGGGTTAAAATTCAGCTCTTCGATTGAGTGATGAGGATGAATCTGAGTCTAAAAGTGCCGATTGATGACAGATGTACAGTTTAACCTGCGGAAAGTAACTCAGTCTGCTGTTACAACAAACCTGCTTCTATTTAGCACAAAGTATCCTGAGATCACAGCAGTAAGCCTCGTTCTCTGATTTCTTTTGTAGAAGAAGGTCAACCCTGATCTGCAGGTCGAGGTCAAGCCCAGCATCCGGGCCAGAAAGATCCAGGAGGAGAAGATGAGGAAGCAGATGCAGAAAGAGGAGTACTGGAGAAGAAGGGAGGAGGAGGAGCGCTGGAGGATGGAGATGAGGTCTGGCTTTCTTCTGCACTCCATGCAAACCTGAACACATGCTTTACTGATCACCACTGCAGGTTGATTTGGTTTAGGCCTCATTGAGGGGAAATGTCTCGCTCAGTCTCCCATCCACATTTTTACATGTTCAATCCAATTCTGTGAATTTTAGATTTTCTGCAGAAATTTCTCTTTGTGTTAAATTTCTCATCATTACCTTTGATTTATTTATTTATTTTTTCTAAGATTCTTTCATAAACTCTTTGCAAGCAGGTATAAGTATCACATTTAAATCCCAAAAGGAAGCTTGAGACTAAAGAAACATCAGGAAAGCAGTAAATGATGTCAAAGGGCAGAATTCATACTGAAAACAAACACGTGACGGAAAATGTTTACACTGCCTATAGCCCCTTTTACAGTAGCCATTTGAAACCGTGCCGTGATTGGTCTGGGTACGGTAACCAAGGTAACTGTTGCGTGTAAACGCCACTGAACCGTGCCAGACACAAGCAAACCTTGCTAAACTGGTACTAGCTCAACAGTAGGGCTCTTTGTGGTTCAGTTGAGTCTCTGTTTTCAGTTAAGAACGAGCGCATAAGCAGAACGCATCATCTCCTATTTACAGTCAGCTGACCCATTTCGCAGGTTCTCCTGATTGTCCGGTGCAGGGACCAGATCTGCTTCGGTCAGATAAACTGTATTGCACCGGTTTCTTAAGGATCCGATCTCTTTTGGAGTTTTGACATATTATTACCTATATTTGCTATTATTTTACATTTCATTGGCGATCTAAAGTAGCAGAATGCAGAAAACAATCATTGTCAGTCTTGAAGGAAAGTACTGCGTTCTAGGACAGACTGAGCAAAAAGTCTCCGCGTATTTTTATTCTTTTTATTAAGATCTGAGGGCAGAGGAGGACAAATGGAACATCTTAAAAATGACTTTCAAAGTGATTTTAGACAAAGAAAGCAGTTATTCTACTTGTAGAAAATGAACGGTTGTTCTCGACATGAATTTATAAGTAGTGTAGCTTAATATGGCTAACTGAGCGAGCTAAAAGAGGCTAACCTGTTAGCTACTGATCACAGCTAGCCACAGCGCTACACGAGCTCTCCCCCTTTATATCACAGTCTAGTAGTTTGTTTACATAATCAGATCTTTTTCAGTTTTGTTATCACTCAGGTAAAACTTAATCGGTCATTAGATACGCTAAGGCTGCAGATGCTCCCGACCGTAAAACCGTAATGTTTTACATCAGGTGGCGACGTTCAGCCAATCATGTAGCGTAACGTCACTGGCATGAAGCAGGACCCGAGCAGATCTGGTACCTACAGCGGCTTTGCAATTCACCAGTTCACAACACGAACTTCTTCTCAGCCTGCGTACAATAAATGGCATCAAAAAAGCATGTTGAGACCTGGGATGATGCAGAGACTGAGGCTTTCATTGAAATTTGGGAGGAGGACGCTATCCAGACACAGAAGTTCCTGAATATTATGGGTGCCGCCATTTTTGTTTGCATAATTCCCACCTTGAGAGCTGCAGTATCGTAGAAACCCGATAGGAGGCGAGGAACCGTGCAAATTTCAGAAGGATAGCATAATTATTAGTTTAAAGACTTCAGATTGTGTGTTTCTTTTACTTTTTTTTTACTCTTAGTTTAAATATTCTATTTGCTATAATTAAGTTTATGATGAATTTGAAATGAAATGTATTATTATTATTATTATTATGTTTCCATCAGCGTTGGTTTGTCTCTTTTCAAAATGACTAAAAAGCTGATGGGCAGATTTTGCTGAGATTTTCAGAGAAGTTTGTGTAATCTGACCTGAAACAAAAGATTTAACCGTGGTGGTAGTAATGGATCATATCATAGAGAACTGTGATGGTTCCATTGAAAGGTCAACTCTATATCCACCAGGCTGCATAAAGAGAAATCTTTATGTAAATACACACAGTGAAACAGATCAAGAATTTATATATTTTATTAAGCGTGATACAAATCCAGATAAATGAATAACTATTTGTCACACAACTTGCAAAGTACCAGCTGTGTTGAAACACTGCATTTAAGGATGCAGAACAGCAGCAAAATATAGCAGAAAAATACAGTTATGTAGTTCAGCTCATTGATTATTTACTAACCGACTTTAAATGGTAAGAAAAAATGTTCTTGTATCCTCAGATTCCACCAGCTGTCTTTCTTTTTCTTTCAATTCTTCTGCTCTTTCTGCCCCCAACCCCCCCTGCTTTATAGATAATAAACCCCACCCTCAAGGTTAGTGCTGAATCTGGCCCTGCTTAAGGCAAAATATTAATAAAAAAAAAACTTCCAAGTTTCTTCTGGAAGAAACTGGAAGAACAAACCAAGATTTGAAAGAAACTTCTAACCATGAACTGTGGTGACGATCCGGATCAACTTCTGGATTCTGTTAATACAGGTTTTTAACTTAAGGTGGAAGTCCTAACATGTCGGGGGAGGGAAATTAGCTCAATGCTCTTTGGGTGCTTTTCTACCGTATTTTCACGACCATAAGGCGCACCGTACTAAAAGGCGCAGTCTCAGTTATGTGTCCCATTTCTGTATTTAACACACACATAAGGCGCACCGGACTATAGGGCGCGTTTTTTATATACAGGTACACGTCCTCTACTACCTTTAAATACCTCTACTGCGTATTTAAAAATACAGCCGGGGAAAAACTGAGTATGACTGTGCTTTATTCATGTATTTATTAAAAAGTATTAATCAAACCTGGCAGCTGGCCAGATGACACAGCGCTGTGATCACTCCTAAATTAACTTAAAATCCTGAAACCTGCCGACGGGTTTCCTACTTTTATGGGTGCCTGCAGTTTAAATTATTTAGATGAAAAACACCTGCCATCCACCGCGTGAACCCGGAGGCTTCCCAGCCTAGAGGCTGCTGATGAAAGGATTTCTCCTGTCGGCGCACCGCTGGTATGTGGGGGTCTGAGCGCCTCCGACAGAAATAGATAATCTGGATGAACTGACTGCAATTATTAAGTTTTCAGGTGGACTTTCTCACTTAAAAACATATTAAAACTACTTTATTCCCACTGATCACAGCAAATATAGCTGCAAGATTTAGATTATTTAGATGAAAAAACACCTGCCAGCCGCCGCGGTGAAGAGGAGGAGACCCGCCCAGAGGCTGCTGTTGAATTAAGTTTTCAGGTAGAAAAATACAGCGGGAGCAAAACTGAGTATGATTGTGCTTTATTCATGTATTTATTACAAAGTATTAATCGAACCCATCAAAGTCATCATCCTCTGTTTCTGAATTAAACAGCTGCGCTAAATCAGACATGCCAATTTCCCCTTCTTCGCTGTCAGTCACTTTCCGTGCAGCGCAGCTCCTCAGAAATAATGCCGGCTTTTGCGAAAGCTTGAACAACAGAGCCAGCAGACACGTTAGTCCATCTACAATCCATCCGCTAACTGTGGCGTAACTTGCCCGGCGCTGCCTTCCACTTATCCTGAAACTGTGGTCTCTGTCGGCCATCCATCGCTCCCATGCCGCTCGCAGCCTTACTTTGAACGGCCGCTTCACACTGATGTCGAGCGGTTGAAGCTCCTTTGTCAGACCCCCCGGGATAACGGCGAGCACAGTATCCATTTGATTCACTTTTTTTTCACATCGGCTGTGAGATGGGCACGCAGCGATGGTGATGCGTGGAAAAAACCACCTGGTCTCCTCACATAGGCTACACCTCCCTCAGCTACGCTTTCATCATCTCCTCATCCATCCAGCCTTTTCCATTTGCGTTAATATAATATGTCATCAGAGCGCTGTGTCTGTCTCGCTGTCAGCTCCCAGATCAGCTTCTCTGATTGGTTGATGCGGCGCGTCCAGCAGCAAAACTTCAATTTTTCCATCTCGAGCAGCAGCAGCGCGTTGGCAGATGCTTAAACGCTCCTGCTGCTCCAAACGCGCTGCAGGACCTTTTGCTGCGCCTATACGCGCGTCAACCATTTACTTTGCATGTAAACTCGCTGCTTCTGCTGCACCTGCTGGGTCCGGTTCACACCGATGTCGAGCGGTTGAACAGCGAGCACAGGGTTAATTTGTTTCCCCATGTTTTTCACATCAGCTGTGAGATGGGCACGCATGGAGTTACATATTAACAGTGATGGTGATGAGTGGAAAAAAAAAAACACCTGGTCTCCTTACAGGTGCTGGTCATAAAATTAGAATATCATGAAAAAGTAGATTGATTTCAGTAATTCCATTTAAAAAGTGAAACTTGTATATTATATTCATACATTACATACAAACTCATATATTTCAGATGTTTATTTTGTTTAATTTTGATGATTACAAATGACAACAAATGAAAATCTCAAATTCATCATATCAGAAAATTAGAATATGACTGAAGACCAATAAAAACAAAGGATTTATAGAAATGTTGGCCAACTGAAAAGTATGAACATGAAAAGTATGAGCATGTACAGCACTCAGTATTTAGTTGGGCCTCCTTTGGCCTGTATTACTGCAGCAATGCGGCGTGGCATGGAGTCGATCAGTCTGTGGCACTGCTCAGGTGTTATGATAGCCCAGGTTGCTCTAATAGTGGCTTTTAGCTCTTCTGAATTGTTGGGTCTGGTGTATTGCATCTTCTTCTTCACAATACCCCATAGATTTTCTATGGGGTTAAGGTCAGGAGAGTTTGCTGGCCAATTAAGAACAGGGATACCATGGTCCTTCAACCAGGTACTGGTAGCTTTGGCACTGTGTGCAGGTGCCAAGTCCTGTTGGAAAATGAAATCTGCATCTCCAAAAAGTTGGTCAGCTGCAGGAAGCATGAAGTGCTCTAAAACTTCCTGGTATGTGGCTCCGTTGACCCTGGACCTCAGAAAACACAATGGACCAACACCAGCAGATGACATGGCACCCCAAACCATCACTGACTGTGGAAACTTTACACTGGACTTCAAGCAACATGGATGAAGTGCCTCTCTTCTTTTCCTCCAGACTCTGGGACCTTGATTTCCAAAGGAAATGCAAAATTTACTTTCATCAGAGAACATGACTTTGGACCACTCACCAGCAGTCCAGTCCTGTTTCTCTTTAGCCCAGGCAAGACGCTTCTGACGCTGTCTGTGGTTCAAGAGTGGCTTGACACAAGGAATGCGACAGCAGAAACCCATGTCTTTCATACGTCTGTGTGTGGTGGTTCTTGAAGCACTCACTCCAGCTGCAGTCCACTCTTTGTGAATCTCCCCCACATTTTTGAATGGGTTTTGTTTCACAATCCTCTCCAGGGTGCGGTTATCTCTCTTGCTTGTACACTTTTTCGACCACATCTTTTCCTTCCCTTCGCCTCTCTATTAATGTGCTTGGACACTGAGCTCTGTGAACAGCCAGCCTCTTTAGCGATGACCTTTTGTGTCTTGCCCTCCTTGTGCAAGGTGTCGATGGTCGTCTTTTGGACAACTGTCAAGTCAGCAGTCTTCCCCATGATTGTGTAGCCTATAGAACTAGACTGAAAGACCATTTAAAGGCTTTTGCAGGTGGTTTGAGTTAATTAGCTGATTAGAGTGTGGCACCAGGGGCCATCAATTTTGAACCTTTTCACAATATTCTAATTTTCTGATATGATGAATTTGAGATTTTCATTTGTTGTCATTTGTAATCATCAAAATTAAACAAAATAAACATCTGAAATATATGAGTTTGTATGTAATGTATGAATATAATATACAAGTTTCACTTTTTAAATGGAATTACTGAAATCAATCTACTTTTTCATGATATTCTAATTTTATGACCAGCACCTGTACATTCAGCCACTCTTTCATCATCTCCTCAATGAGGTGGTCTCAAAAGTCGCAGTTACAACACACATAGGGCGCACCGCACCATAGGGCGCACTGCACATTTTGAGGGGAAAAAAAGACGTTTAAGTGCGCCTTATAGTTGTGAAAATACGGTAGTTTTCTCTGTTATTCTCCAACACGATGCCCCTCAAAGTGGCCCCAAAGGACTGCTCTGCTATCTGCATAAAATGAACTTACTGGGCTGACATGAAAAAACTCCAGGAGTGACTCCTGCGTCTTTTCTCTCTGAGCCCTGGATAAAAACCTTTTGATTTTAGTTTAAAATTAAGCTTTCTGCTCTAAAAATAGCAGCTTTGTGGGCGTTGCAGTTTGCAGTCTGGCTTTGCAATGCTTTTTAGCTTTATAACTAAAGGAAAAGCAGAAAAGGTCCAGATCACTGATCCTTTTTATTCTGCTCCATTTTTAAAACACTGACGCCGCCTGATGCCTCGTTAGAGCATAACATCTCTGTCAGAGCACAGCATAGAAGTAGACTGAGTAGATCTGCAGCTATGGAGAATTTTCTGCTGGACAGGGATGGATATTAATACCAGATCGGTCAATCTATAATATTTGGATCTAAATGATCCCATGGATCCTTGAATGTTGGTGAATTTGAAAAACTTATTACAAGGCCCTGGAAATTTTTGAAAAAGTACTATAAAGCTATATCAACCTGGAAAATCCTTGAAATGTTTCTTCATGTGTTTAACAGTGGTTGCAGAATTTGGGGGGTTTTTTTTGAGTCACCTTTTTAAACATTAGAGATGCCAAGAAGTGGACATTTTCACCTCTTGGATCAGATTTCAGCCAAAAAGGTTTTTTAAAGGTTGCTATTAAAAGTGCGGCTTTATATCATTCTTTACCAAATCCATTGTTTTGTTTCCATTGACATCAAATATTCATTTACCACATGATTGCCCCAGTTTGCATTTGAAGCTTCATTTAAACCTAATTTCTCCATCCATAGAGATTAGGGGTGTAAATCACATCCATCATGGCGATTCGATTCAGTATCGATTTCCTGACCCAACGATTCGATTATTTTCGATACTCAAGAATACACCACGATACGATTCCATTCGGTTAATTGTTTTTTTTTTTTTTTTTTTTTTTTTTTTTTTTTTTTTTTTTTTTTTTTTTTTTTACACCTTACAGGCTAGACAATGTTTCAAATTTGAAATAAATCAGTGAAAGCTTTAATATCGTTATGCATTTTTTTTGAGAAACAACAGCAAATAACAGAAGTAGAAAAGTTGCACTCCACCTATTCCTGTAATTCCTTTTTTGCATAAAAAAATACTGCACAAAATCAGTGCAATGAGTGCAATGCAATACCTCGGCTCCAGGCGTCCCGCCCCCTCCACAGACCGCTCCGCTGCTCCTCTCCCAAATTGTAACTGACCGCAGACAGGAGGGCGGCTTGGTTTGTTTTTATGACCGAATTTGCGGAAAACAACTTGTGAAGTTTGACCCGCTAGAAGAGCGAGGTGCGCGAGAACGCTGGGACCCTTTTTCCCCCTGGATCTCCGCTCTTTTTGGCCCTCATGTCCCTCCGTCGTCGGACTAAACTCGCCCCCACTTCCTCGCCGCCTCGGCCGTATCTAGACCCACAGCGTATAGCACAGACCACGCTTCAATATTGAGCATAAATCAAAAATGTCTGCGTCAAGCTCACTGCAACACACTGCTGTAAGAGGATAACCAGGAAGCGAGGTAGGAGGGCAAAATAGGTTTAGCGCCACCGCAGCACGAGAGGGGGAATTACGCCCAGGAGCAAATGGATAAAAATAGAGCGGAGGAAAAAAAAAACATGAATCAATTCTCTTGCGGACGTATCGATGCATCGGATCATTGTTGGATCGATGCATCGATACAAAACGATTATTATTTACACCCCTAATAGAGATGTCCATGTTTTGTAGATGTGAATGGTCTGAATGGCGCCTTTGTCTTCAGTCCACTTTTTTATTGAATCTGATTCAGCAGCTTCTAGTTTTATAGGTAATCTTCTGTCACTACAAACAGACATGCAGCTCCGTTTGCTCCTTGAGTTTGAGAGAATTGGTCTTAAAAAGTCCTTCAGTTTGATGTTAGTAGACGTGTGGGAACCTTGAAAGATGTTTAACTCCCAGCAGAGATATAAACCCTCCATTCTACGGAGGTTTATCCAGATTTTATCTCACCACTGTCCACAGATTTCTATTAAAACTGATTAAGTTTCAGATCCAGTGAAGGAAAAAAAGTTGATCTATAATCAATAATGAAAACATGTTGCAAACCTCCAGCCTGTACTGTAGTTCCTGCTGACGGAGGCGTACCAAGGCGCTCGCTTTAGCCTTAACTGTGTGACATCATCACCTAAGGTAGACTGTCTGCTCTGGATCTCAGGCGCTATGAAGAGGACATGTACTGGAGGCGCATGGAGGAGGAGCAGCTGCACTGGGATGGCCGCCGTTTGCCAGATGGCGGGTATCCACAGGGGCCGCCGGGCCCTCCCGGTCTACTGGGAGTCCGACCCGGTATGCCAGGTCTACAACCGCAGGGTCCAATGGTAAGTTTCCAGGACTTTTTACGCTTCTAGCTAACCTTCCAGGAAGCATCTCGCCGCTGCTCCTCTTCCTCGGCCGTTACTGGAGCCGCCGAGCTTTTTAAGGAGGCGAAGGGCAAAACGGAGGCTTTTTTATTATCGACAGGAACAATGAAAATGTTCAGTTATACCTGATATCTGTAAACTAATGATTTATGATCTCCTGTAGCAGATCTAAGATGCTTTCCTTCATCAAAACTCTTTTATATCTGATGCATTTAAACTAAGTAAATAAAAAATTAAAAAATGATTTAAATCATTGAGATAAAAAAAAATGGACGCCTCAGCAGATGGCCGCTCACACTGAGCCTGATTCTGCTGGAGGTTTTATTCCTGTTCAAAGGGAGTTTTTCCTCTCCACTGTCGCTACAAGCATGTTTGGTGTGAACGAATTGAATTGAATTGATTTAATCAAGATCATCTGAATTAAACCTTCAAACCAATCAAGCCCAAATGGAGAAATATTTTACATTATAATAAATCTGATGTTTCTAATAAGAAAATATTTAAATCTTCTCAGGAATTGTTTGTTGAATTTTAATTTCTCTGTCGGACAAGCATCAAAATTGGAAAACATATTTCACTGGGTGTAATATCTGAGTTTCACTTTGTAAATTAAGTGACAATAAAATATCCAAATTCTGATTGTTGAAATGTACATTTCTTAAACTTTCTAAGGTGATCTTTTTAACTGTTCTATTGGGAAACAAAATTAAAAATCCAATTTGGCTCTAGATTTATGAACCTCCATGTTTGAAGGAATAAAGGACCGATAGTTTTATCTGTTTACTGTTGGCAGCATAAGTCCAGCATCTCTAAATCCGTGTCCTTTTCCAGCCGCCACGTCGTCCGGACTCCTCTGATGACCGTTATGTCATGTCCAAGCACGCCGCCATCTACCCCTCTGAGGACGAGCTCCAGTCTATCCAGAAAATAGTTTCCATCACGGAGCGGGCCCTCAAGCTGGTCTCTGACATCATCACAGATCAGGAGAACGAAAAGGAAGAGGATAAAGAGAAGAAGGAAGCGGTGAAAGACAGGTGGGGGTTCTGGTTCTACTGGGTCAAAAATCCTGCTCTTTGAATGAGCGACGGACCTCAGACCCCTTGGACCTGAGCTTTTATTGGATAATAAATGTTTCCTGGTTTTTGTGCGGCTAAACCATCTTTAATACACATGAAATAGAGATGTGAAACTTTCTCCCCGCTTTGGTTCCCATCTTTCCTTCCTAACCCCAGAGTCCTGAAGGGTGTGATGAGGGTCGGGGTTCTGGCTAAAGGCCTGCTGCTGCGCGGCGACAAGAACGTCAACCTGGTCCTGCTGTGCTCAGAGAAGCCGACAGAGAGCCTCCTGGCTCGCATCGTGGAGCTCCTCCCCAAACAGCTAACGGTACTGACCTCATACTTTCTGATTTTAAGTCCGGTCATTGGCTGGCTTATAGGAAACGTTTGAGGATTCTTAGCCAATCAGATCCTAGAAATAAAATGACTGATAGATCAGCGTAAAGTAGACCTCATCACCTCTTCCTTCTATCTGGAACTAGAAGGTCAAATAGATGCTGATGAAGCCCAAAGTAGCTGCATAGCTGTGGTGCGTTCACTGACCCAAAGTAAGAGAAGACCTTTGAGAAACTCTCCAGTTAGCCGGACCCCATTAGTTATAGTACCACTAAATTATGCTAGGCTTTAAGAGGACAACTCAACTCAACTCAAATCAAACTTTATTTATAAAGCACATTTAAAACAACCGGGGTTGACCAAAGTGCTGTAAGGGAATCACAGTTAAGGAACATAAGATAAAAGCTAAGGCTAAAATACATAAACACATAAAAATAGATTAAGATAAATGTTTCAATTAAAATACATTTTAGAATAAAATAAAATTTTGCCAAATGTCCTCTTAGACATGATTAAAAGCCAGGGAGAAGAAATGTGATTTTAAAGAGGATTTAAAAACCTCAAAGGAGCCTGCTGATCTAACATGCCAAGGCAAGTTATTCCAGAGCCTCGGTGCCATGAAGGCACGATCACCTTTAGTTTTAAGTCTGGTTTTAGGCATCGCCAGTAGCAGCTGATTAGAGGATCTCAGTGTTCTGGCCGGGGCATGAATTTGGAGAATCTCAGTCAAATACTGGGGGGCTAGACCATTAAGAGCTTTAAAAATAAACAATAAAAATTTAAAATCTATCCTAAAAACAACCAGGAGCCAGTGCAGTGAGGCTCGAACAGGGGACATATGGTCATGTTTATGTGTGCCAGTAAGGAGACGGGCAGCTGCATTTTGTACCAACTGCAGATGGTGTAAAAGTGAGCGGTCCAAGCCAGCATATAAAGAGTTGCAGTAATTAACGTAACGGCGGGGCTGTTGGTGTGCACTGTCACTACCCGATCCGTTCCAGAAGCACGATCCGTCATGAGCTTGCGCGACATCCAGGTGTCCATAAATAATATAATTATGGTACTAAAATTACTTTACTTACTAAAGAATGCTTATTCACATCTTTAAAAAAAAACTTTTATGACCTTTCTTTACATTTCTTCCTTTAAACTGCTTCTCTGACGTCATCATGGGACCTGCTCAGAGCAGTCCGGCAAAATCTGATTACACTATGTTTATATGCATTTTAGTTGTTTCTTTCTTTAGATTACGCACTATATACCATTATGTTAACACGAACGTAAAAGTTAAAAAGATTTAAAGGATTTATGTTTAAATCCAAAACTAAAAAAGTTAGCTCCAGGAAGTAGCGTAAAACAAAAAGGATTTTAAGGCTTTATTTTCTCAGGAATACATTATTAACCTTTAACACATTATATTTGAGTACAGTAAGTATTTTTGGTCAGCAAAAAATGTAATTCAGGTCTTTTTTTACTAAATAAAATCGAGGGCGACACAGATGTATATCTGGATGGGCGATTGAGCTGAGTACGGGTGGGGTGGTGACATGTGCCTCTCTCTCCCTGCAGCTGGTGACTCCAGACAAGTACGAGGTCAAAGGGTCGGTGGAGGAGGCGGCCATCATTCTGACATCCTGCACCGAGCCGAAGATGCAAGTGACCATCACTCTGACCTCGCCTGTCATCCGAGAGGAAACGGGCCGGGATGGAGGTCGGAAATCCCCCCCTCCCCCACAGCCTTCCTTCTTGCACTCATCTCTCTGCTCTCTCTATGCAATCGGTTTCAGTATGTTGGTTGATATTCCCAAAGAGCATAGATCTGCTGGCACACCGTTTCTGGCTTGCTGAGAGCCTCTCCTCTCGCGCCCCCCCTTCCTTTGGGGGTTTTCAGGGAAGCTTAGCTTTTTATTTGTCTTTGAACAGTTTGATAGGCCAGCCTGGATCCTTAGTGTGAGGGTGGGCTCAGTGCCGGGCGAGGGTCTCTGGGTGAATGAAAGGAACGTGCCAGCAGTGTTGCTCTTCCACCTTCTGCTCTGTGACTCCTTCCTCTCGAAAGCTTTCTTTATCCTTGGAACAAAGCATGATCCGTGTTTGCCTTGTGTTCGGTCTAGTTATTCCAAGGTGAGGCTCTGTTTTGTTTCCTGTGTTCCCGGGGATGGTTTCCATTCGTATTGTTGGCTATACTCAATGGAAGGCACCATTACATCTTTTCCCCCACATTTAGTCCTGAGATCAGTTTAACGAACAGCCACCGGGAGGCGCCATTTACACCTCAAGCTGAATTAGTTTGAACGCGTCTTTGGGTCGAGGAAATGGATGTAATTTTCCCACAGGAAACAAATCTGTTTGTGTGCTGGTGAACGGTTCACCACGCTTACGCCCCCCCACCCCACCCTGTTCTCAAGTGCTCCCCTGAGTTGACCTCAAAAAATTGACCCAAGGGTCACATTGAGATTGATCGCTTTTTCTTTTCTTTTCTTTGTTGCAAATTTTTAATTTTCACTGATAATAAAAAAAAACAGAGGATAAAGGATTTGAACCGATGATTAAATTGATCGTTGTTCTTAGGGGAGTATGGTTTCAAGTTCAGGAGAGACGGTCGGAGCCGAGGAATCTCTGGTTGCATCGGAGCACAGCCTCTGTAGTCCTGATTGCTGATGTTAGCTCTGCATGCAGTGATCTCTAACCCCTCTGGTTCTACGTTCGGGTAGTTGGTCTTTTTGTTTTCCTCTTTGGCAACCATTGCTTCCTCTTTTTTTTTTTTCTTCCCCAATTTCCAATATTTGGTAGTAATGCACACACTGGTCCTGAGAGGATACAGCCCCGCCCTGCGGCAGCCATTCGGTTGGGCCCCACAGACTCGGAAGGATTTTTGACCAAGGTTTTCTCACATCCCAAAAACTTTGCCACACCTACTACTGACCATGCCACCTCTTATATCAGCGCACTTCCTCCTAGCAGTTTGCTCGCCGCTCTATTTCAATCCTTAGCTGATGTTGATCCATCTGTTGCCATGGAAACCCTTACAGCATGCCATCCACAGAACAAATCTGTTTTATTCAAGTTTAGGGTTAAGAGGATATTGGCTGTAAATAAAAAAAAAAAAATGAAAAATGACTTAGCAAATTGTCAGCCAGCTCTCATGGGGGTCCTTCACAGCGGGGGTCATGTTGGTCAGGCTGTATGGTTTTCTTTGTAATGACTAAACATAGATAATGTTGGTATGTGTGGCAATGTGTTAGTTCTCTGCCAGCCTCTCTGACCTGGTCAAACACCCATTCCTCCTCCTCCTCCTCCTCCTCAGCGTTTTGACCCTTCAAATCCATTTTTAGATGTAACCTCGGGTATGGTGAAAGACCCAGCGGACGTCTTGGACAGGCAAAAATGCCTTGACGCTCTGGCTGCTCTGCGCCACGCTAAGTGGTTCCAGGTTCGGAACATCATTTTACTTTCTCCTTGTAGCCTTATGAGATGCTTTATTTATTATTTTTTCTTTTTCTCATAAATTTGAAGCTATTTTTGATGTAATGGAAAGTACAGTTTTTCATATTTGAACCAAGAGAATCTAAATATTCAAGGATGCCGCTCTGTTAACGACCTGATTTGGTTTCCATTACGGTGAAGCTCCGCCCATCTGGATCCTTCATTCCAGCCTTTTATTGCTCCAACCAATTGGCATCCTTGTATTTTCCTCTGCATTTTTCAGCTACTCCATAAGGCTGCAAAATAACTTGCACAAAAATGCTTTTAAGACCAACGTTTGTATTGTCTTCACTCTTAACTTTGATAGATCAGGGGTTGAGAGAAGAGGGAACATCTGAGTAGTTTCCTGTCATTTTTGCTCTCTGAGCTAAAATGTGGGCAAAGTAAATCGGATTTCCCGCCTCTTTCGGTCCCTGCGCTCTTCTCTCAGTTGGACTGCTGTACTTCTCAGTCCCTGTTTGTGAGGAACTGGAATAAATCCGGGGTCAGGGGTTTAGAAGATGCAAAGAAACGTCCCGATTTCTCGTGCATCTTGTAAACTCACAGCTCCTTTACTAACTGTGAGGTACAAGACTACTGGGAATGGCAGCTGAATGCAGATCTTTGGCCTAAACACATGAAAGTGTATTAAAGCTTCCATTATGCACAGTAGTGATTGGACCTCTGTAATGTCTTTGATTCACCTGTTTGGTCCATTCATCGCCTGTTAATCTGGTTCACTGCATAAACCTAACTGTATTGCATCAAAAGGCTAGAGCCAATGGTCTCCAGTCCTGCGTGATCATCATCCGGATCCTGAGAGACCTCTGTCAGCGGGTTCCCACCTGGTCGCCGTTCCCTGGATGGGTGAGCAACAACCGTTCAGCCTCTAAACTCTGAAAAAACGAATAAAAAAAACATCTAAAAATGTCTGATAATAATAAATGAGGTCTGGTTGAGTCAGTAATTAAATGCTCTGCCAGTGGATCGCCTCTTTAGGCCTCCAGTATATATGAAGGTTTTCTTCCTATTTGAAAAGCAAACATCTGATTCCATAAGCAAATCTTTTTATTTAACTACTCAAATCAAAAGCAAATCTGCTCATTTCTTGCAGATTTTTGTTACTTTTTGCAGTAAAGTTTTTTGGACAAATAAAACACATTTTATTTCCCTTTTTGTCTCTATCATTTAGCTAGAAGCTCTTTTCTGCAGCTTCTAGTTCAAATACCGTATTTTCACGACCATAAGGCGCACCATACTACAAGGCGCAGTCTCAGCTATGTGTGCCATTTCTGTATTTAATATAAGGCACACCGGACTATAGGGCGCAGGTTTTATATACCGTTACATGTCCTCTACTACGTTTAAATACCTCTACTGCGTATTTAGAAATAGAGCGGGAGCAAAACTGAGTATGATTGTGCTTTATTCATGTATTTATTACAAAGTATTAATCAAACCTGAGAGACACATCTCTGATGAGTGCTGTGATCACTCCTCTGAAACAGTTTGATGCATAAATTAACTTAAAATGCAGAAATCTGCCAGCAGAATATGTTCGCTTTTATTATCCTGGTGCCTGCAGTTTAGATTTTAGATGAAAAACACCTACCAGCCGCCGCGGTGAACCGCGAGGAGGCGACTCGGCCAGAGGCTGCTGTTGAAGGGATTCCTACTGACAGCGCACCGCTGGTATGTGGGGGTCTGAGCGGCTCCGACAGAAATAATATTGGAAGGCAGGATGGTAATCTGGATGAACTGACTGCAATGATTAAGTTTTCAGGTGGATTCTCCCACTTAAAAACATAATAAAACTACTTTATTCCCACTGATGACAGCAAATATAGCTGCAAGGCAAAGAAAGGATAGAGAAGCTCCAACCAACGCGCGTCAGACACACTTTTGCACTGCGCAGCCAGAGCAGCAAAGCTGCTTCAGCCACGCGTCAGAACTAACTGGTACAAGCAGCAAAAATGAAGCAGCAGACGCGGAGGTCTCCTTACATTCACCTCCCTCAGCCACTCTTTCATCATCTCCTCAATGAGGAGATGAGGAGTTCTGCATAAAGCACATACCTGTTCTTTTATACACAATCCACGCCCACACTTCCCCCTTTAACGTTCTCATGGTCATGGTGGTCTCAACAACGTCCGCAGTAACAGCACACATAGGGCGCACCGCACATTTTGAGGGACAAAAAAAGATGTTTAAATGCGCCCTATAGTCGTGAAAATACGCTAAGTGCAGATGATAAAGCAGCTGTTTGGACCACAGCCTCATTCTTTACCTCTTTTACAGGGTTTCCACAGGTCATTAAAAGTCATTAAATAATTATTTTTTAAATTAAGGCCTGAATTGGCATTAAAATTCATAAAATACAATTATTTTGGCATTTAAAATGCTTTATTTAGGAAAAAAGTTTATAAAAACAATTTATTAAACAATATATCGCGATATATTCCGGTTCCGGTTGATCGTAAAGCTGGAAATTGAGGAATTGAGGCCTGCCGGCAGAAAAGGAATTTTCCGTGTATATATGAGAGTCATGGGTATTTGTTGATGGCATTAAAATTATTTCTAAGAGCATTAATAGAGCACTAAAAAATTAGTTATGAGTTAATCATTCCTGTATAAACCCTGTTTTAGCATCTAATGGTTCATTTTCTGATTTAGCTTTAATCTGATATGAATCCACTTAAACAGTAACTGGAGCTCCCTCAGATTACAGGAATAATTGTCTTTGAATTCATTCAATTTATCTATATAGCGCCAATTCACACCACAGACAGTTAAACCAGATCATACAGTCAGATTGATTCAACATTTTCTAAGGAAAACCAGTTGATTGCATCGACTCAAAAACACTGCTGCCTTAGGTCCTCCCATTGCAGAGAATTGATCCTGAAAAGGCCTGAAAATTATGCTAATCAAACTTCTGAATCAGTTGGGTTCATTTTTCAGCCATAATCTTCACCTTTTTTTGTCAGTGATTAATAATTTTCCACAGAAATGGTTTGATTAGACAGATCAGAGAGGGAAAGGAACGTAGAAGTACCGATCTATTGGTACTTTCTATGGGAATGAAACTCATCTTTGCGTTCTTCATGCAGGCGATGGAGCTGCTGGTTGAGAAGGCCATAAACAGCGCCGCCGCTCCTCTCAGCCCTGGTGACGCTCTGAGACGCGTCTTTGAATGCATTTCTTCTGGGATTTTACTTCCTGGTGAGCTGGTTTTATCTGCATCCTGCAGTCTTTTTCAGAATAAAGCTCATGGTTCTGCGACGGCCTGGGTGATCTGAGCGGTACTTGACACGATACGTAGGATTGTGAAAATTGTTTGTTGAAAAATGCCCCAAAAAACAAAACGGAGCTTACAGCCATAAACAGGACCTCAGCAGTAGAAGTAAACAGTAGGAAGAGTGACTTTTAGGCTTCTTTTAAAATCAGCGATAAACTAACTGAAAGTTTTCATCAGTTTAACATAAAAATCAACATATTTTAATGGTTATTAAAGGAAAAGTCCGGTCAGCAAGGAATAATCAGTGGATCATTATTTATACCTAAAACTAATAAGTTTGCAGTGATTTAATGATTTAAGCGTTTTCATCGCGATCTCTGAGTCTGGGAGCGGCCATTTTTGCCCAAATATAGTAACCCCTCCCTCCTGCCATCTTCCAGCAGTGATGTCACGCTGCGGTAAGCCTAGCGCCATTCTCCCCGCTTTACAAGCTAAATCAATGGGAACTACTAGACACATCTGCAATCAACAACAATTATTGAAGATTTCCAGAGGACTTCACCATTGAAATTCACCAGAGCTATAGTGAAACTGACAATGCCCACGTGCATGGCAGCTGGATGCTGGAATACATCGGGTAAAAGTGAAAAAAAGAGTTATTCCACCTTTCTGATTCCTGATCCTCCACGGACGGGTTGGTCGTTGGATCGCCAACTTGAAGAGGGAGGATTTGCCATCGAACTTCTGGCCAGAGAAAAAACCCGTAATATGTAGCCAACATTTGGAAGAAGAATGTTTTCAAGATGACTTGGATAATAGCGCGTTGTGACAAACACCAGATACAGCACTGGGACTTGATCAACAGCCGATACCGCACCGTGACGTCACTAACCAGTAGGTGGCAGTAGTGTTCTTTGACAAACATGGATGCCTCCAGTAAAGCACATTCACATGAAAATTACTCTGAATTAAAAACACTGATCATTTATTGAACAGGATGGAATAATTTCAGATTTAAATTTCTTTCAGAAGTTTGAATTCTAAATATGAGCGGACTTTTCCTTTAAAGAAACAGTTTCTACAACGTTCTTCTTTGTGCGATAAGGAGAAAACGCCGCTGCCCAGCAGAATTAGTTACCAATAATGGCTGCACAGCTGTAGAGGAAACATTTCTCCTTTAAGCTTTTTATTTATAGAGCATTTAAGTATAAAAAAAATGTTCCAGTTTAATCCAACTATTAGTAGAATCCCTACATGGACAGAAAGTCCTGAAGAACCTAGTCTGGATAGGGTTACAGTAAAGGAGCACAAAAAGGTCAAAGGTCAAGATTTAGTGGTTAAATCATTCTTTAATTTTAATTCCACTTAGTTCTTTAAAATACAAAATTCAGATAAAAACATCAAATCTGATTTTAAAGATTTTGTTTTTTTTTGGATAAAGAATTTTCCCCAAAATAATCATTGTATTCAAGAAGAAGTGGCCTTTCCAGTAGAACATGGTGACCTCCAGCAGCAGGTTCTGGTCCGTTTGGACTGGACTCTGTGATCTTCAGCTCTTGGGGTTTGGTTCCACGCAGCAACATTGTTTGTTTTGTTCCTCTGAGCAGGCGGACCGGGCTTGTTGGATCCGTGTGAGAAGAGGCCTGTGGACACTCTGGCTGCCATGGAGGAGCAGCAGAGGGAGGACATCACTTCAAGTGCTCAGGTAAAAAGAAAACTCCTTTCCTTTGCAGAATTAAAAGCATTTCTTCTAGAGAACGACACAGAGTTGAGGTTTGGCCACGATGCGCTGCCACAGCTCATCTGAAGGAGTCTTTTTTTACCTCCTGCTCTGAGATCGACGTATTAAACACGTTTCTGCTCTTTGAAAGCAAATATTAACTTTGAGGATTCAGTTCTGGTTTAGAAACTGTTCATAGTGGATTAAAATAAAGCAAAAGCTGCTGTAGAGGTTCAGAACCAGAACTTCTGGTGTCAGACTTCCAAAACATGACCCGTTAAACGCAGGTTGGGTTTTTGGGTCTGGCTTCTGATCAGAACTGCTGAGGTGAGCCCAGCAGCAGCATGCGGAGCCTGTAAAACCCCTGATCAGAGCCGCTGACCTCTATTCACTGGATTGCTGATTGCCCGCTGGGATTACGGGATTGAAGTGAATCCACTTGCCGCCATATTGGTACTCCCTAGTTAGACCAGTCGACAACTACGATGATTGTCTCATTTTCATGGGGACTTCAGACTTTTAAAATAAAGAGAAACTCTTCACTTGGACAAACACTGGCTGTTTCATGACATCAGTAGATTATTTTAACTTATAATAAAAAGAAATAGGCAAGCAGTCATTATGAAGTCAATAGTCTCTCAATCATGTAATATAACATATTATTCAAATCCATCACAACAGAATCAATGTGTCGATAGAGAATAATAACACAGATGTGCCAAAAGTGCTAAATTGATGATGTACATGTAATATAAAAGTATATATTGTATGTATAGTTGTTTCCAATTTAGTAAATATTGTAAATATAGTTGTTTCCAAGAGAGAGAGAGAGAGAGAGAGAGCGAGCTGTCCGAACCGTTCGGTTCGACTGTCTCGGTTCGGTTCCCGTGTGTTGCGTTCGGTTCATGCGCTGCTCCTTTTTCTCATAGGCGAAGCGTTTACACTCCAGAGCAGAAGGTGGCGGTACTGCGACCAAAGCCAACCACCAGTAGTAAACAAGAAGAAGAAGAAGCGAAGCAGCGTAGCCGGGTGTAGCAGAAAAAAATCAGTTGTTGTGTAGAATTGTGTGGGTATGGCGAGTGGGAAAGAACAGGAGTTGGAAGACGCGCCAGCAGCACTTTATAGGTCTGCTGTATGGGACCACTTTGCATTTAGAGTGACCTACGATGACGGCGGAAAGAAAGTTGTGGATAAAAGTGCAACAGTGTGCAAGCATTGTGCCGAAATCCCTCATACTCCGTCAGCGCTCCGCCCCGCTGCGCTCCAGACCGCCTGCTCAAAGCAAAGCCTGCAGCCTCCACTGTGGCTCCCGTCCGCTCCACTCTGAGTTCCTTGTAGATCATAGAGAGCATGCGCCAGATGATTAAACTCAAAGCAGCAAAACATGCGGAAATGATCTATGGTTTCCGCGAATCATTAAAAATAATATATACATTTTTTTGGATTTTTTTATTCATTTCATAAATTTTTATGGGATTTCGGTTTAACAATCAACATATACTGAACCAAAAACCGTGACCACGAAACCGTGAACCGAACAGTGGATTTTGTGAACTGTTCCATCCCTAATATCTATAGATATATAGATAGATATTTATAGATATAGATAGATAGGTGTTTTAGTTGGGTTTTCTTGGTTTTTTTTTCTCTCAAAATAACATGCAATATATTTCAGCAAATGAAATAAAGACTACACTGACATTTCACAGTGAGTTACTTTCTATTTTCTAACGTTAAACCCAATTTCAATGGCTAACTCTGTCAATATCATTGAGTCAGTCTGAGATGGCCAGAATAATTTTACGCTACAGACTATACTATAGGATCCGTCGGCTATTGATTGATTTATTGGTTAGTTCATCCACTGACTGTGAAATTATCAGTGAAACGTCTTCCTACAGCCGCAGGCAAACTGCTTGATTTTGCTGCCAAAGGCAACACAGGGAGGCATTTTTACCGAGCGTCTCAGTGGGAGCGGGGAGTACCAACATTTTTTCAGGCAAAGCAGCAATCCAGAGGATAAATAGAGATCAGTGATCAGAGCTGCTGAGCTCTCGACCATCCAGCTCCCCTCTGACGGTCTGTTTCTCAGCACCACCAGCAGGGGGCGCCACGCTTAAAACCCTCTTTGTTTTGCAGTTCGCTCTGCGGCTCCTGGCCTTCCGTCAGGTCCACAAGGTTTTGGGTATGGACCCCCTGCCCCAGATGAACCCTCGCTTCAACATTCGCAACAGCCGGAAGCGTCGCCACGACAACAGCGATGGGACAGACAGCTTCGAGGGGGAGGGCAAAAAAGACAAGAAGGATTTTGATAATTAAAGGAAAAACCTGCATAGAAAAAACCAGCTCCTGAATGTTGTCGGTCCGTCTCGTGTTTGCTGGTTCCTTTTCCCTCCAAAGCCGCATATTTGGGGCCCGACTCTATCCCAACACAACTGTACATTTAGCTGTAGATGATCCGAACCTCCTGACCCCAAGGAGCCGAGCTGCCCAAGCTTTGAGGACCGCAGCAGTTCTGCTGCTGTTCTGATCCGAATGCATGACCTGAACCGGGTGGCTGGGTGGTGGGGGGGATCCATGCTTTCATTCATCTGTATTCTAATACCCAGAGCTTTGTGTCGTGGCTGTTGTGAAGCAGGAAAGCCGTCCTGACCTTTCTTTGTAAATGATAACTGGGCTAAATGCAGGTGTGGTTCTAATGCTGCCGTCATTGTTTCCGAGTTGGACGTCTCTGAAAAGAACCGACCCTGCAGCTCACAGAAGAACCTTTATTTATCTCTTTAGCTAGAGGGATCATCTACACTTAAATATGGATCGTTCTCTTTTTTGTTTTTCTTTCTTTTTTGGATATGTACCTGCGAGTATTTCAGACCTATTAATAGAAAATAGCTTTAATTCAGTTTCACTTCTTTCAAAAAGAAAGAAATAACATTTCTCATTGTTATACTGTTTCAGTTTTTAACGGGGTATTTGAGTTCGGAGCAGCGCTATTGGCTTACTGTTGATTGTGTTAGAAGCTAAATAATTTCCAGGCTGCGGAGCATGAACGGCCATGGAGGCGCAGATGATGTAAATGCCCTCGTTCATGGCTTCTTTTGTGAATGTTTGATGTACTTTGTTCCTGCAGTAGAATAAACCCGTTTTAGATGGCTGAACATCGGCATCGGCTTTTTTGTTTGAACCACCATATTCTGTCTCATCGGGGGTGGTTTTCTGCATTGGGAAGACAACACATAAAACAGACCCGTTATACAGATAGAGAAATTTTTATAGAATAAACATACATTATTTGTTCTGTTTTATCCTTCTCTTCTGTCCCCTTTTCTTGTTCTCCTGTTTTCTTTTGTCCTCGGCTGACTTTTCATGCCGTCTCACAAGGAATTAAAGTTTTTATCCAATCACTAAACCCATTCTAACTTAGCTGATTGCTCCTTCCTGTGTTTCCAAAAAGGCCAAAGTAAATAACCCAGTCCTTCTTTTCACTGTAGACAAGCCATGATCTGCTTATCTGTTCCCTATTTTCTTTTTCATTGTTTTTATTGGAGCTAAAAGAGGAAATGACAAAACAAAAATGTATATAATGTGCACAAATAAGGAATAGTTGTATTAACCCATTTATGGGGCCCCCAGGAACTTGGGCCCCTAGGCAACTACATAGTTTTGCCCCTGGCCTCACTGAAGGGCCGTGTGGGGATTACAGATTTATCAGAAGAGAACATTACATTTTACTACACATTTTTACTAAAAACACTCCTACAATGAGGAAATATAGGCAAATGAAAAACATGCAGGTAGATAAGATATTTCAGTAAGTTAATCTGCACAGCAAGAGAGATAAAAGTAACAAAATTAGGTTAATTGAGAAATATTTGAGTGGGGGAAAAAAAAGAGTAGTTTTTTTTTTTTTAGAGTAGTAAGAACTGATGGAGCAGATCGGAAGCTGTGCAAATTACATCATGATCGCCGTGAACATTAACTGCTTCTGCTGGAAGGAAGGATCTGCAGTAGCCCTGCTTTGTACCGTTAAGGTGCAAATCAAGCAAATAATTGGGGACCCCAGGCTGCTTCAGTTCCTCCGTGTTCTGATTAGAAATGCTCAGAATAGAATGTCAGAATAATCCAATTAAAACCTTTGGGTCACATTTTGTCATCAACTAATTCCAAAGACGAACTGAAACCATCAGGAGTGACTAAGAAAAGTTTCCAAAAAGCAGCAAAACCTCCTGATTAGTGTCTCCCGTGGCAACGCATCAACACCCTGGATTATCTACACCGTATTTGGAAGCATTCAGATACACGTGAGCCGTCATGTGTGGGGTTCCCACGCTCACCGTGTGTCACCGGTCCCACAGCAGAACGGCGAGGTGCCATTGGCTGGACCGTGTTTGCTTCACACGCCTCCATAACCCTGCCAAAGGTCGGCATGTCTCACAGTAACAGACCTGCTGCTGAGCAGCCATCGTGTTTGCAGCGCTGAATAGAAACCATCCAGGTCCTCCTGTTCCACCCCGAACCACCTGATTATTTATGCAGTTAGCTTTAAGATTAAAGGTCCTAGCTTCAACCTTTTCATCGAATGATTTCTTTCATGAAACTGTTCATAAACAGAACATCTGTTTTATAAATTTAGACAGGTTCAAAGTATTTGTATTCTGTTTACTTGGTGGAAACATGATTTTTTTAATGCAAAGCTCTGTGTTTATATCTTTAAGCTTTCTCTACCCAATGCTTTCCTGAGAATAGTTCACTCTGAACAAACATTTTATGAAGTTTTTATATTAAAAGCTTGAGTTATTGTCATGTGTTATTCAGGTTGCATGACATGTCAAGTGGTGCGTTTCGCAGTCTGGAAAGTGGTGGCCCGCATTATGCTCAATGTGCTTGTCTTGCCCCGGCCACCAGAATGGGCTGCAAGCCAGTGCCCTCATGCTCACTATGCCACAGTGCCCGACGTGGAGTTGTTTCAGCATGAAGCTCCGCAGAGAAGGGGGTATGATGACCCTTCTGCCCCACAGCAGACGGGCCGACTGTGCAGAAAGTCCTTGTTGCCTGACCAAGTATGATTTGTAGTCAGGTGTGTTTGAGATTCTCCGGCCTTTTATGATTGCATCCATTACTGCCGTTAACACCGGATCATTCCGTTTGGCATGTCTCACTTGTTTTATGGTGACCAGGGTGTCGCCCACCTGCTGGAAGTAGAACATGTCATTTTGTAGGGACATTAGCCTCCCCATGTGGAGCGGTAGGTGGGAGAGGCCATCCACATTACCATGTATTTCAGATCGGCGGTATTTATTGTCGTAGTCATGGTCTGAGAGCAACAGGGCATCTCTGCATTCTGCTTACAGCCAATGGTGGAACGCCTGAATGGGGTCCTAGCGAGGCTGTTAGCGGTTTGTGGTCAGTCAGAAGCCTAAATCTTCCAAAAAATTACTGATGGAATTTTCTAACTCCGAACACGATGCCCAGAGCCTCCCGCTTGATCTGCACATAGTTACATTCAGCCTTGTTGAGAAAGCGAAAGTGATTGGTTTGTCTGTGACAACCGGCATGATGTGTGAGACAACCGCGCCCACCCCATGGGGGATGCGTCGCAGGCTAACTGAAGAGGCAGTGCTGGATCAAAGTTGGTCAGCACCTCAGAGTACAGCAGGGCTTTCTTTGAGCTTGCAAAAGCAATTTGGCAGGTCTATAACCACTCCCATTTCTTTCCTTGCCTCAGCAGCTCGTGGAGGGGCTTCAATAAGGTGGAGAGACTTGGAATGAATCAGCCATAGTAGTTCAGGAGCCCCAGGTATGAGCGTAACTGCTTGACATTTTGTGGTGCAGGAGCTTCCAGAATGGCTTTGGTCTTGGAGGGGGTCTTATGTAGACCCTTGCCATCAATCACATGGCCTAAGTATTCAATGGAGGACTGGAAAAACACATCTTTCCTTGCAAACTTTCAGTCCATATTTCCTCAGCCTCTGCAGTGTCGTGTCCAGGTTTTTGAGGTGGTCGGCATTGTCCTTCCCGTTATGAGGATATCGTCCAAGTAGCACTGCACCCCCGGAAACCCCGCCAGAATCTGATCCATGGCATTTTGGAAGAATGCAGGGTGTATGGGACCAGCCTTTCTTTAATGAATCAGGAATGTTGCCAGGTTTTAGGATCACCTTTGCAGTGATACTTTTCATGTGCCCCAATCCATCAGTGAAGAATTCACCATGTTTCTTAAAGACAGCTTCTAGAGCCGTCTCTCCTTGACTGAGCATGCAGACTGTAGGCCAGTCAATCCCCACTTCATCCGTCCATGCACAGCCTAGCAGGGACGGGTAGTTGCCTCGAACAACGTATAAGGGCAGCTTTACACATTGTCCATTTAGCTCCACCATGACCCTTTGTAGGTCTTGAGCACCACTCATGCTCGTTGAATAGGTAAGTGGTATAAAATGATCTTTATACACTGTCTCTGAAACCAGTGACACTGCTGCCCCAGTGTCACTTTCCATCCACACTGGTTTACCCGCCAGTAAGGAGCTGTCAGACCCTACAGCCAGTGAAAGAATGTGGAGCGGTAAATCCTCATCTGTTGATTCACTGGCACTGTTTTCCTTTTCCGTCACATGCACCGTTTTCTTATGTGCAGCAGCTCTCTTGTGTTTGAGTTTCTCAATGTTGACTGAGTCCCTTTTTTTTTTTCCACAACAGGCCTTTTCAATGTGACCTTTTTTCCACAGGCATGGCAGTCCAGTTCTTTACACTAGCACTCTGCTGCCGGATGTCCGGATTTGCCGAAGCAATAACATAGCCTCGCTGTCGAGCTGTCCTCTACACCGGCAATCTTCAGCACATTAGCTGTAGATGCACTCAGTTGCTGTGCCTTTTTGCAGCCAATTCCATTGACACTGATTTCAGTTACTCTGGCCAGGGTTCATTTGTCCTCAGTCAGCGACTTCCTCTGAGCGGCCTCGCTGCGCAGTCCACTAACAAGCCAGTCACAAATTACATTCTTAAGCGTGCCCTCTTTAAATTTACAGTGCTCCGCTAATTTCCTGAGCACAGTCATGAACATAGTCACTGTCTCACCCTCGTCATGATTACGTTTATAAAATCTGACACGTTCAGCAATCATCAGCGGATTGGGTGAAAAATGTTCACTTAAGAGTTTTAACAATATTGTCATATGTGAATTCTCCAGGCTACTTGGGCTGTGTTAGTGCACAGAAAATATTAAAAGTCTTTGCGCCCATTACTGTAAGGAAGGTAGCTATCTTTTTCTCTGCGCTAATTCCATTGGCCAAAACGAAGAATTCAAAACGCTCTGTTTAGGCGCTCCATTTCTCCACCGTGTCATCAAATGGCCCTATGTTGCCCACAACCCCAGCCATTGTTGATAGAGTTGCCTCACTTTGTCCTTCGTCCATTTGTCTGTTGACTGTCTGTTCGGATGAACTTACCTGTCAAGTGTTGTTTCCTGGTGGCACTCGTGTTATGCTTTGGTGCTTCCATCCGCGCTTCCGTCGGATGAAATAGACAACTACGCGAATACTTTAGAAACAAAACGGCTATTTACAAGAACGAACACTATACGTGAGTTCAGACGCATCCTCGTCACCAGTTGTCGTGTTATTCAAGTTGCATGAATAACAAGGCGACAGGCGAGAATGTGGTTGCGGTTAGCTGTACTGGAAATGCTGAACTGAACAGTAAACAGGAAATCAGCCCCCAGGGCCTCATAGGGCCACGGTGGCCTCATAGGCTCAACATGATAACAGGAGAACCCTGCAGAACAGATATGACAACAGATTTTTGATAGAAGTCTTAATCAAACTCAGACCAGAGAAATGGCTTCGGTTAACAGACGGTTTATACACACAGCTTATCTTAGATCAAAGACAATCTGAATGATGGAGCAATCACTTAAGAATGAACCACCCTGTCCTCTCATTTCATTATGTACATAATGAGGATGATTACTTTCTATCCTGACAGTACTGTCCTAATTAGATAAAATGCCTGGAAAAACAGCCTTGACATGTAACAGTATGTATGATTAGGTTAAAACAAAAGAAAATAATTCTAACGATGCTAACATCAACATAAAGGAATCTGCAGCGACAGGAATAGCAGGAGTCATATGAGAGAAAAACCAACTTCATTAATTCAGACAGAAATGCTGGCGATTATTTCAGCTATTTTCATGCTGCTTTTGTTTTAAAATTGCCGCCAAACCTTTAAACTTTAAAGAAAAAGTGCCACAAATTACAAACTTTGCAGCACAAATATTTGACACCGTTTTTGTTTGGGAAGCAAATTTATGTTTCCTAAAACAGAATGAGAATAAAGTTGAAAATCAATCATTAGACCTTTGGAGCTGACTTAGTTTAGTTAGCATTAGCTTATTTTAATCTTTTTTTATTTATTTTATTCAATAACAAACGAACAAGTATGTAAATGAACACCTGTTCAAATCCACCATAGGCATAACAAAGAAATAAGGAGATACTTAAACACCACACTTAAACACAATTAGATTATAATAAAGTAAAAAAAATAAATAAATAAATAAAATGATGGTAAAGTAAGCTGATGAAGATTCGCCGTCATCCAGGTCATACCCATTCCAAAAAGGTTAAAAAAAAAAAACAACCCACTGGACTTAGTTTCCAAGTTTGAAGACGTTTTGCTTCCCATCCAGGAAGATTTTTCAATTTCTTTTTCAATCACATTTTGAATTTAAAAAGCTTCCTGGATGAAAAGCGAAACGTCTTTAAACTTGGAAACAAAGTCCAGTGGATCATGGAGTTTATTTAGGAAAATTGCATTGTGGGTAAATCCATTAGAATGACACTCGAGTCCTAAACCTGGTGGTTCCAGCAGGCCTGTTTTCCAGTGTAGTCCTGTTTCTCTAACTGTGACTAACTGGATGTGCTCTCTTCATCCTCTGACATGGGAGCTGGCTCGGAGCTCGTCTGCCTGGCTGTGTGTTTCCTGGATGGGGCCGCCTTCTACAGCTGCATTTTGTATCTCTGCTTAAAATGCACAATTTGAAATGTCCCATTTAACAATAAAAATGTAAAATGATAAATTAAATAACTAAATGTGAAAAATAAATGTATTCATTTATATTATCATATACACGAGCTATACAAGGAGTTTTGGCCTAGTGGGTTAGAGCAGTACGCTTGTGCTCTGAGTAGTTTGCAAGAACCCGGTTCGATGCCTCCACCTTAACCCCACACTGCTCCCCGGGCGCTGCACAATGGCAGCCCACTGCTCCCCAAGGGGACGGGTCAAATGCAGAGGTAAATTTCTCCAATGTGAGATCAATAAAGTTGAATTATTATATGTATTCTCTTATATTTTTGGGGTCACAGGCTGAAATGTTTTCATACAGCTTTACTCGGTACCAGTTTGAATAACCAGACAGAGTTTAGTTGCATTAATGGTTTTATTATTTACTGGTATTAATGATGTGGAAAAACAAGAATCAATAAACGGGGACAACAGGATAGATTTTCTTGTTAGGGAGTTTATTTCTTTTTAATATCTATGAACCTAAAACCACATCATTGATGAATGTAAAGAGTGGGAGTAATGGATGTTGACCATGTTATATCGTGATGTCGGCCTACTGGTCGAGGGTGTAGGAGTAGTGAAGGGTGCCTCCTTCTTCTAGAAAGCAGTCATAATGATAGGTCCCAGGTTTGAGCTGACGCTCGCAGCTCCCCACCACATCATGAAAGAGTAAGTCGGCGTCGTGGACGTCAAGCCTCAGGATGTCGTTCTCCTGAGCATGGAAGTAGGTAAACTCCTCATCCCACCAGGGGTGGATGGTGTTTGCACGAGTAGCGGTCTTCCCCAGGCTGGCCGTGCCAACGTACACCTTGACATAAGCGTCTGTGATTCCAAAAATGTCGTAAGGAAGGTCGCTGGCCCGAAGATCGAAGACCCTGAGCTGGGCCTGAGCCAAGTTGAGGGCACACAAGACCAGGAACGAGACACTGAGGCTGGAGGCCATGACTGAAAGGAGGCTGAGGAGGAGAAAATCATCACAATTCATCAGGTTAATTCAAGAAACATGCTGGAGATTAATGCATCCGGACCAAAGCTATGCCATCATCGTAATGTCTTCACTATTTTATTTCTACACAAATAAAACAAAAAACAGAAGAAGAAGCTTAGAAGCTTCTTTTATCATTTTTTATAGAAACTGTCATGGTGAGACAGATGTACTCTTTGTTCTAATCCAAAATCAGTTTGATAGTTTACAAAAAGCACAACTATAATTAGTGTTGATGTGTTAATGTCTTACCTTCAGGTGGGAAATCCTCTTTCTCATGTCTTCATAAGCAGCAGATATTTAAAGCTCAGAGCCACACCCCCCCACAATAACACAGGCTGCTGTTTTCCCAGGATTATGCAACATGGCTGAGATAACAGCCTGGTGTGATTCTAGAGCTGTTTAGCAGATGGACTGGCTTCATTTCTCTGAGGGAAACAGAAAATCATAACATTATCGCAACAATTAAAAGAGAAAAACATCTGGAGATCACATCTTGTCGAAACTAACAAGCATTAGTTAACCTTTATTACTGCTCTCAAAGCAGAAGATCTCATAAAGAAACACATCAGAGTCCCGTCTTTGGAATAGATACCTGATTGGGGCAGCAGCTAGCTGGTTCTGCTGAGAGAAAACAAACCAACCTCCTCTCAAAGCAGGTGCTGATAGGAACCAGATCTTTAGGAGAGACAGGGTGTACTTCATGATGGACAGTAACATCATTTAGCTCACACTAAACAAAACATGATAGCCAGAGGTCTGAGTTTCTTCTAAGATGCTGACCTGAATGTCAGAGAAATTAAAACAGATCAGTCAATCTGAACATTGACTAAACAACAGGATAGAAAATCTAAGACTTTATCAAAAAGGAACATTTTCAGACTGGCCTTAAAGTAGACAGCCAAACAGGAACAGACCAGATGAAGCTACGATAATGAGTAAAAGCAGAGAGAGCAGAACGTTAGAGATTGAAATAATAGATTCTACAGAGTGGGAGAATAGAGATAGAATGAAGCACAATGATGACAAAGGGTCCCTATGTCCTCCAGCAGTCTAAGCCTATAGCAGCAGAACTATAGAGATAGATCAGGATAACCTGAGCAACCCTAACTATAAGCTTTATCAAAAAGGAAAGTTTTAAGCCTAGCCTTAAAAGTAGACAGGGTGTCTGCCTCACGGACTAAAACTGGTAGTTGGTTCCACAGGAGAGGAGCCTGATAACTAAAAGATCTGCCTCCCATTCTACTTTTAGAAATTCTAGGAACCACTAGTAAACCTGCAGATTGAGAGCGAAGTGCTCTGTTAGGAACACAAGGAACAATCAGATCTCTGATATCAGATGGAGCTTGGCCATTTAAGGCTTTATATGTGAGAAGGAGGATTTTAAATTCTATTCTGGATTTAACAGGAAGCCAATGAAGAGAAGCCAGGATAGGCGAGATATGATCTCTCTTTTTAATTTTCATCAGAACTCTGGCTGCAGCATTTTGGATCAGCTGGAGGCTTTTGACTACAGCTTGTGGACTTCCTGATAGTAAAGAATTACAACTTCCAGCCTTGAAGTAACAAATGCATGGACTAGTTTCTCAGCATCACCCCTGGACAGGAGATTTCTATTTTTTTGCAATATTCCACAGATGAAAGAAGGAAATTCTAGAAACCTCTTTGATATGGAATTTAAATGACAGGTTTTGATCAAAAATAACTTTATTATCTGAGATCAATTTAATCCTATCCAGATGAGGTTACTGACTTATCAGCTTCTTTTTCAAAGACTCCGGTCCAAAGACTATAACTTCTGTTTTGGCTGCATTCAGGGGCAGATAGTTTGAAGTCATTCAGGTTTTTATTTTATTTTATCAGGATTTATAGGCAGATATAGCTGAGTATCATCAGCATAACAGTGGAAATTAATCCCATGCTGTCTAATAATTCTAGAGATTGGGAGCATAGATATTGTAAAGAGAATTGGTCCCAGCACTGATCCCTGTGGTATTCCACAGGTAACCCTTGAGCATGAGGAAGACTGAAATCTATCAGATAAAAAAAGATTTAAACCATGGATATGTGATTTCTTGCTGGGAAATAAATTTTAGATGTTTGGACTTTCACTCTCTGGAAATTGTGGCCCACTGCACAGTTTCATATACCATCAATAAGACCAAACTACCAAGAAAAAGGGTAGAGGGAGGGGCTGCAGTAAGCTAAAGGGAGCAATCAAAAGATCATCACCTGGGAGTTTTTCCGTTTTCCAACATTTTGCACACGTGTGAGTTTGAACAATATGTTAAGTAACTGTTCATTCTGTAACTTTACATAAATAGAAAATATAAGACCTGCTGTGAAATTAAATCAGTTTCTCCCTGAAGATCATCAGCGGAAGGAAGCATGAAGAGCTCAGAAATGTCCTGACTGTGGGCTTTAGAAAACCCAGTGGACCAGACGGTCGCTGACTGTGGAAACTTTGCTCTGAAAGTGTAGGGAGATTCTGGTTTTTTTAATGCTCCTTCCAAGGATACTGTATAAAGCCTCAAACTCAACACTATTTCTGACATTTTGAAATAAAAAAACTTCCTGGATGGAAAGCAAAATATCTTCCAACTTGGAAACTAAGTCCAGTGGATCGTTGTTTAACGTTTTTGGAATGACTGATCTGGATGACTGAGAATCTTCACCAGCATTTTATTAAAACAGCTTTGAAATATTTCACCCATCATGAATTTAGATCAGTTTTACTTTCTGAAATGAGGGGAAAAACCTAGTTAACTTTTTCATAATATTCTGTCTTTTGTTTTTGTAAGAAGAAAACATAAACCAGGAACAAAGACAGATGAGGGAGAACAGTTTGTCAACTTGTCCTCAAAGCCTAACTGAGAATAAATAGGAATAAATTAAAATAACCAAGCTCCTAGAGCTTTCTGTGTGCAAAAGAAAGATGTACTCATTTTAAATGGCAAACATGAAAAGAGAAACAGTTTTTACTGTTTTTGGCTGCAGCTCTGAGGCAGACTGGTGGAACGTAAAGACAACAGCAGGGGGCGCTGATACACCCAGCGGAGCGCATTTAGCCGCAAAGAAGAAAGCAGTTTTTTTTTTGTTTTTTTTTGTAATTGTTCTTCCGCGTTTTTAAATGTTTTCTTACTGGAAGCCTTGGAGGAGGAGATTTATTTCAGTTTTCTACTATCTTCTAGGAATTGCTTTGGTTTTAATAGTCGGTGTAGTGCTTTCTGCGTTGCAGAAGTTAGACGGTGACAGAGCCGAGGACATGCCAGGTATTAATCGGTCTCCAGGGAGCAAAGTGACGGATTATTGAGTTAATCTGACAGGGATTCTCTCCGCAGGGACCGACGGGACGCTGCAGTACTTTAGGGAACTGGGGCTGCTGACAGGAAGTGACGCGGCACAGCTCCAGTGGTCGCACGGGGTCAACAGCCGGAAGGCGCTCGCGCAGGCTCTAAGCGGTAGCTACGTCACTAAGTAACAAGTATAAATACTAGCGAATATTCCATACCATGACTGAATGAGCATTTATTGTTACATTTTACGGGTTAGCTTGATTTGGTGAGTAGCATCAGTACCGCTGATGGTTTAACAGGATTTATACATATATATAAAAATAAAATAAACAGTTAAATTATGTTAAATTTCTTTGCTTCTCGGATTTTGTCTAATTCCTTCCACTTCCTGCAAGTAACAGAAATCTTTTTAAGTATATCAACAAAGACTGATACTTTGTAAAGATCTGTAACTACCATGTTAAAAAGAAAAGTGCATTTATTCTCACTGAATACTGACACCTGCTGGACATTTAAAGACACTACAGGCAGCTTATTGGACAGACTAAACTGAATTCATTTGATGACCTAGAACAATGATATCATTTAAGTTATTGTAGTTTATATTGTATTATTTCATAGCTATGTTTAAATTGAAAATATCTTTGATATTTTTAGATGCAGCCAATAAATAATTTAAAAATATATCATAAGAGGAACATTTTGAGGAAAATGTGAATGAGGATGCTGGGGTACTAGGATTTTAAATCACATTTTTAAAACGATAAGTACAGTAAAAGGATTAAATAAACTTAGAGTCAATTTAATAATAAGTAATAATAAGTAAAATAAAAATATTTAAAAATACAACTTATAGATTAAAACCGGAAAATCCTCTATTATCCTGTCATTTTTAATTTTTTTATTATTTTGCTTTGTTACTTTGCACATTTTTCAATACATCTTCTCAACAAATGAACTAGGTTCCTTTCTCCAGACTAACTGGGGAAATATAGACCCTGACTGGTCTGTTTAGCATAACAAAAGACATTTGTTGCATAGTTAAAACAATAAACATCACCAGTCTCTCTAATAAACTAAACCAGGTGGCATTTTTAAATAATTAGAATTAAATTGAAATAAATTAAACTGGAAATCTGTCTGCATGTATAGACTGAATAACGTTTTCTGTGATATTTGCTGTTAAACAGAGCTGGATAAATAAATAATCTGAATTAAATGTGTTCCCTATTTACTAGTCTAGGGACATTCTTTAGATGCCTCTATCCTGTCTCTAACAGCTGAAAGTTGAAGTCATCCGGGTTCTTAAGCCTTTAAAGGAGAAGTCCGGTCATATTCAGTATTCAAACTTTTTTTTTTTTGTAGTTTTTATGGCACTAGTGGATCATTTTTTCCGACAGTAGACTGACAAGAAAGGGGGTATGAGAGAGAGAGGGAGAGACATGCGGCAAAGGACCAAAGATTGGATTAGAATTTTTTCACTTTTACCCGATGTATTCCAGCATCCAGCTGCCATGCACGTGGGCATTGTCAGTTTCACTATAGCTCTGGTGAATTTCAATGGTGAAGTCCTCTGGAAATCTTCAATAATTGTTGTTGATTGCAGATGTGTCTAGTAGTTCCCATTGATTTTGCTTGTAAAGCGGGGAGAATGGCGCTAGGCTTACCGCACCGTGACGTCACTGCTGGAAGATGGCAGGAGGGAGGGGCTACTATATTTGGGCAAAAATGGCCGCTCCCAGACTCAGTGATCGTGACGAAAATCATTATTTTTATTTTTTTACTCATAAAAACTAGATTAAATCATTGCGAACGTATTAGTTTTAGGTATAAATAATGATCCATTGATCATTCTTTGCGGACCAGACTTCTCCTTTAATGTTTTTCTATAGTCTGTTAATTGAAGTTCTGTCAGGGATCACATCCTTTGGTTGCAAAGACAAACTTAACCTCTGGTGAAAGTCCAAACAGGTCTGGGTTGTGTCTGCACCCTCAGGTCCCTGTCACATGATTGAGGCTGATGTTAACCTTAGAGGTCATGGACTGGAAGAGCCGATCATGGCACATCCCCCTGAGACAGACAGCGACATCACACTGAAAGATTGGCTGGACGAGGTGAAGACCAGCAACAAGGGAATAAAGCTGGACTTTAAGAGGTGAGAGCTCTGCTCCTGTGAGCGAGCGAGAGGCCGGATCTGATCCTGTGGCCTGTCTCCTTCCAGCCTGGAGGCCGTGTCTCCGTCCCTGGTCCTGCTGGAGGACATGCTGGCTGAGCCTCGCCGGCCGGTGTGGATCAACGCAGACATCCTCAGTGGACCGGGTGGGACAGCCCGACCCGTGGACTCCCAGGCTTTCCTCTCTATCGTCACAGCGCTTCCCGTCCAGACGGTGCTGTCTCTTGGTTGGACGACAGGATGGACAGCTGGAGGACAGAACCCAGGTGAATTCAGGAACTCCCGCACACTGCAAAAGATTTTATCTTATTTATTTCTTAAAATAAGTGTATTTGTTCTTGAATTGAGGACGTAAGTGAGAAACTTAAAAAAAGAAAGAACAATTGCATTGTCTTATTTCAAGTGCATATTATCTAATTATCTTACTTTAAGAATAAAAAACTAATTCTATTGGCAAATGATCTTATTAACCTACTAAAATGAAGGGTAAAGACTAGTGATGCGTCAGTGAGGCATCTTGAAGCCTTTCAACACTCAACTATTGATACTGTCTTACTGAATACTGACACCTGCTGGACATTTAAAGACACTGCAGGCCGCTTATTTAACAGACTAAACTGAATTGATTTGATGACCTAGCACAGAGGACTTCAACCCAAACTGCTCAAAGAGCCATATTGGACCAAAAAAAACAATAAATAAATCTGTCTGGAGCCAAAAAAATGTAACAGTCTTAAATATGCCTCATATGGCAACACGGACTCTAAGTGTATTATCCTTCTATAGAAAAGGACTATGTGGGCTTAAATATATAATAAGCATTCACGATTAAATGTTTATCAGGGAGCAAATGTCACATAGCAGCGTGAGGTGATGGAGGAGCAGTGGACACTCTCACCAAGCGCTGCTTCACCGCACGGTTTAGGTTTTGTTGCATTGATGAAATGATAGAAACAGGATAAAGGAATCTTTCTATGCTGGACATGTTTCTGTTGGGAGGAGTTGATTGAGTCACGAGGAACCAAGCAGGAACTGATCCATCAGAGCAGAGCTCTCTGACCCTAAAATCCCACATCCTCCGTCTCCTGCATTCCTTGGTTTGATTTATATTTTTAGGATTTGGGGAAAAAATGGAAAAGAATTCACATCCCTAAATCAGAGAACTACCTGTTGGATCTATGAACAGTTTTCTATCCTTGCAACCAAACTAGCAGCAGTAGTGGAGTTTGGAGATGCAATCCACTTCTTAAATCTATCTTTGCTCTCCCCTAATTTATCCAGAACTTGGTGGTCGGCTGCATATTTAACTTGCCTTCCCTGGAAATACCTTTCCAAATTGTTCTTTTTATTTTTTGACAACATCTCATTACAAAGCAAAAATGCAGGCAATCCTTCCGCATTGATAATGAAAGCAAATGATTCGCTCCATTCTTTGAATCTTTTTTTCTTTTCAGCTATCTTTCTTTTTTCCCCTTTGGGTCCGAGACGCACCCACCGCTTGGTTTGCCTGGCATTGCGCAGCGCTGGTTGCAAGTTATGATCACTCTCTATGACAATGACGCAAATTATTACAAATGTTTACAGTACTGGAAAACATAATTCATTTTTGTTTGACCTCCTGCACTCTATATTAACACAAAAAATTGATTTTCAAAATTTTTTGAAAAAGCTCCAGGGAGCCTCGGGTTGCCGACCCCTGACCTAATACAATGATATCATTTAACTTATTTTAGGTTAAATTATATTATTCCTTTTTAGATGCATCCAATAAATAATGTAAACGTATATCATAACGTGATAATTTAGGTGAAAATGTGAATAAGGATGCTCCATGTCTAGGTTTTTAAATCATAATTTTTAAACAATAAGTAGAGTTAGAACTAGGGATGCACGATATAATCGGCCCCCTATCGGTATCGGCCTTAAAACTGAATATCGGACATCGGCCACCCCACCGATATTTAACCCGATATTTGATCAGCTTCTGAGTTCCTAAAGTCTAAAAAAAAAAAAAAAAAAAATACTACTTCTTCTTCTTCCTGAAAAACTTCTTTTTTACAGACTTAAAAACTTCTAAAGACGAGGGAAAAAATATTGATATTTTAAAATATCACAATATCTTCATATGCTGATATATTGCCATTTAAAAACACCATATCAATCTCTTTTACTAATGAAATATTGCTATGTGTCATCGTTATGCTACGTAATCCCCCGAAAATTCACGAAATGTTGCCATATTTTTATATGTTGATATATTGACGCGGTATCGATCTATTTTACTAACAAAATCTCACAAGAATTTGCAAAATATCACGAGAGTTTGTAACAGAACGATGAAATTTCACGAGATTTTGTAACAGAACGATGAAATTTCACGAGATTTTGAAAGTAAAATAAATCGATACCGCGTTTTTAAAAATCAATTTGATATCAGCATATGAAAATATATTTGAGTATATTATTTTTCAAAGTGTCAGAAATGGATAACAAAACTGCTATTTTCAATGACTACTTATTTTTGTCCAGCTTTAACATCGGTATCGATATCGGTTATCGGCTACATGAGTTATAAAATATCGGCATATCCGATATCGGCCAAAATCCCAATATCGTGCATCCCTAGTTAGAACAGTGAATGAAATAAGTCAATTTGAAATTAACTTCAATTCAGATACGTTGAGTGATAACTGAGAGGAACAGGATGACACAATGATAAAATTAAAATAAAAATGCAACGGCTGAAACGTTCCTTTTAGGCTGCTCCAAAATTCTTGATCATTATCAAATATGTCCGTCGGTCAGAGTACAGCAGCTTATAGCAGGATAGAAATCCCTTTACTTCCACAGAGACGGCAATTTACCCTTTAGATACGTTTCAGTTTTGTGTTGTTGGCTCTGCAGCAATCCCTGGTTCTGAGCCCCCCATGTAGAGACTAACAGACAGGAGCAGGTGCTCTGAGATTGATGGGATGTTAGTCTGTTGTTGATAGCCGGTGTTGCAGGTTACAGCTGGGACATGGTGCGTCTGATGGAGGAGAAATGTCGGCGCCTGGATCATCCGGTCACCTTCCCGGTTCGTGCCGCCCTGCTGCCACATTCCTTCACCCAGCTGTCATGGCTGCTGCAGCAGTCGGACAGGTGACGGCCGGCGCCGCGAGGCACACGTCCAAACACACACAGGTGGTGAGGAGCGAACCAGGACAGACATGACCTGTCTCTGCTTCACAGGTACAGCCTGACCGTGTGGACGGGCCGACAGGACGAGGTGCCTCTGCAGGACCTGAAGCTCTACAGGAAGCAGCTGGATGGGAGCAGGATGTACTTGGACCTGCCGGACTCTCTGAAAGCAGAACTCTCTGTGGTTTCACTGGAGGCTGAGTGAAGACTTTGTTTTTACCACTAGAGGACAATCAGCGTCGACTGAGGAGTTTAACAGTTAAAACCATCACATATTGTCTTTTTTTATATGGTAGCTGAAGCTGAATGACGATAAATGTCCTGATGCTGCCTGTTCAAACCAGACCGACTGCAGCCCTTAGAACCTGATATAAAGATGTTATTGTTTAATCCTCATGTTTTTATGCTTTGGCTTTATAAACAGGATAAAACCCAGACACCAAAGTGTTGGTCCTAAACCTTTCTGCTTTCTCAAAGAAACAGGTTTTGACTGGTGTCAGTGTTCCAGCATGAAGCTGGGAGGAGGAGATTCAGAGGTCAGGTTGCAGTGTTTCCCGCAAAATCTACTGAAGTTGGATAAATAAAATAAACGTGAAAATAAACTTCCCCTTTTATCATTGCAAACTGATTAGTACATCATAGCGACGCTGTCGGGAAAAAACCTTGTAACTCCCATTTTGGCCTTTTTTTTTTTTTTTTTCATAAATTGATACGATTGGTCAGTCCCCACGTGTGAACGTATGTTTTGGAAAATATTAAAATTAAAAGTGTTTAAATACCAATTAAAAGTGTTGAAAAAAGGTTGGGACTTAATCTCGTTACTCCATTGGACTCTTCCGCTGTCGCTGTTTTTACAATTTCCTGTAAACTTTATGGTTTTGGACCTACGAGGTTTCCGTCCTACAGCGACGATAGGCTAGTTTTCTGTGGAACGGTTTACTGTTTAGTGAACAGCATTGGACGGTTTATGTTTCCTTTTGAAAACATCTAACCAGACATGGGAAGTAACGAAGTACAAATACTTCGTTACTGTACTCAAGTAGATTTTTCTGATATTTTTACTTTACTACTTATTTTTATGGCGACTTTTTACTTCTAGTCCTTACATTTTTACACAAATATCTGTACTTTCTACTCCTTACATTTTAAAAAATTGGCTCGTTACTTTAGTTTTGAATCATTTCAATGGAGTTACCGTTATTATTTTTCACGTCATCAATACCAAATTCAATCTAATTGGATGGGAATCTACGTTGCATTTGACGCACCACTACAAGATGAATCGACAGATTCGGCGGTATTCATTGGCGGCAAATCATTGCAGCTTGGTGGCGGTGGCGTTAGCATAGTAGCATGGACGACGAGATGATTGAAAATGAACACAACGGAGATCTAGTCCTATTGGCAGACATCCATTTAAAATGTAGGCAACGGCATGAAAAAAGTGGTTTCTACTTTTACTTTTATAGTTTAAGGAAATTTACAAGCCTGTACTTTGTTACTTTTACTTGAGTAAAGAAGTTTAATCAGTACTTCCACTTTTACCAGAGTATTTTTTAACACAAGTATCTGTACTTTTACTCAAGTACGGAAAGTGAGTACTTTTGCCATCCCTGCATCTTTTTATTCTTTATTTTGAACATGCAAAAGAGAAAAACAAAAAAACAATAAAGTAATGTTTAAAAACATTGGAGAGAAAAACAACAAACAAGGTACCCTTCTTTCCTGATTTAATTTACCTCTATTACATGCGCGAAAAGGAGTAGGAAGAAGTAAAACTGATGTACTCCTTCCCCTTTAATTCTTGTATTTCTTCAATTTACAATATTTATAATTATGTTGCTATATATATCCATATAAATACATACCTACCTACACATATACAGACATAAATATGTATACACATATACCGTCATACATATATACAAATAAACAAAACAAAAACACAAACAAAACTTTCTACAATGCTTCTCTTTACCTTTTGAAAATAATTTCTTTGTACATTTTTTTGAAAAGGAATATGTTTGGGCATTGCTTTAGGTTCTCATTTAGTTTGTTCCACAATTTAACTCCGCTAATTAATAAACATAATCTTTCGTTGTTGTTCTACATCTATTAGTCTTAAAATTTACCCTCCCTCCCTTTCAGAGAACATTTTTCGGATATTCCCAGGCTATGTCTTACTTTGAACATGAATACTGCAATTTGGTATTCTATTAAATCCTGGTATTTTAGCAATTTAGATTTTAGAAATAATGCGTTTGTATGATCCCGAAGTCCAGAAGTGTAAGATCCCGAACTTTGGAAAGTTCTGGCTGCTTTTAACAACATCTGGTTTGTTTTGATTCCAACCTTCATCTGAAATCTCTTCCAGAAAGGTTTTCTGTGTCAGAAAAGCTCAAACATTTTCCTTACAGTAAAGAAATGTTTTCTCACACTGATCGGAGTTCATTTAAAAGTTGGAAGAATTTGATGAATTTAACATGAATCTGTGATGATCGTCGGCTAACCTGTTAGCCTGAATTTCCAGCCTCATATCCGCCAGATGGATTTGCTGGATTTGCTCAACATATCCATCTGGAAACCTTCCGTTGAAGTAATTTTGGGAAGGGGCCAAAATACTGGTTAGCTGATTGGCCTATGTTGGTGATAGACGGGCCAAATAAACCAATCAGATCAACGAAGCATATGACGTACTAACAGAGCGACGACGAAAACACAACCACAAGCTAGGCTACACTTGCCGAAACCAGTCGGGAGAAGAGCAAAAACATCTTTTCCTCTGAGAAAAGCCTCCAGAGCAGTGTTTTGCTCTTCTTTCAGTGAAGAAATACTCTGTAATTCCGATAAACTTGCTCGATAGCCACGCTAACGCTAGTTTCATCGGCTGAAGCCGCCATGTTCTTAGACTGAATTGTCGCGCTTCTGGTTGCGTCACACCTCAACCCGCCTCAAAGCCAGCGCTGATTGGACGTTCGTTTGGTGAACTGCTCCAAAGTTTCTTCAACGGAGAGTCTTCAGACTGATTAGCGAGGGAAATCTTGAAAGCTCGCGAGATCAGGATGGTCTCACAAGGCTAGTGACAATAAGGCTGCACTCCGCCATTACAGCAGTCTTCTTTGGCCGGTGTTCTGTCAGACCAGCATACCCCGTTAACACTGGGACGGAACTCAATGGGAAAGGAAAGGACTCTTATTGCTATGCTATGACCGAAAAAATTGATTGACAGATGACCGTTGATATATGATTGGCCGAATTTAGGTGTTCAGGCTGACGTAGAACTAACTGGCCTGCAGAAGATAACAGGGAAAAAAAACCCACAGACATTTATAAGACAGGAGAACATTTATATGCATGTTTGAGCCAGAATGATTTGAAATTTAAATATGATTTCTTTAAGGTGCAGGTGGACAGCTGAGTCTTGCCTCGAGGAGCTGTGTTGGGCCATGCGTCTGTGGAGAGGTTGTTTGGTTTCTCCAATAAAAAGATCAGAGCTTTCCTCACTGCATTGAACTGCAGACACCACTCTGATCATATTTGGTCAACTGGGTTGTTTTTTTTGTACTTTTTTTGGAATGACTATGACCTGGATGACAGAATCTTCACCAGCATAAAAATAAAAGGAAGAACAGACTCAATATCTTTGCTTATGTAACAGAAATATCCCAACAGGGATCAATATTCTTATTCTGTCAGAGCTATACTGTATGAAAGTGTAAGAAACATTTAGATTTTTGCTTAATGTGAAACAAAATTCATAATTACTTTTACAAAATGAACTTCCCAGCAAAGATCCATCATCTCCATCTCTGGTTATCAGGCTTCAGAACAGCTTTATTCGCCTGTTGTTATGCTTTTTGGCCACAAATCTACAGTCATCAGGGTTTATGGCTCTTGGCAGCACTTCTGAAGACTCTTATTATTGCATTAAAAAAATTTTGTTGAATAGTAATAATTGGACTTTATTGATCTCACATTGGAGAAATTTACCTCTGCAATTGACCCCTTTGGGAGCAGTGGGCTGCCATCGTGCGGCGCCCGGGGAGCAATCGAGGGTTAAGGGTCTTGCTCAGAGTAGCAGTCTATGGGAGGGGGTTTCAAACTCACAACTTCATGATTCCAAGCTCTATGCCCTAACCAGTAGGCTGCCACTCCACCATAAAATAAATATTGGGGTCTTTCTCTAGTTTTTAAAGTCTGATATATTTTCATGTGTAATTTTCTGTAGGATGTTTCCGTTTTTTCCATCCCAGCTTAATGCTTCCTTTCTGTACCTTTAGGTCAAAGCAGCTTTGTTTAACTCCCACCTCTATTTGTCAGATTTACAATCAAAAACCACCAAAGTATTTTTCCTGTGACGTGTTGTTCTGTCAGATGAGCATACCCATGGTCAATATACATGCGCAAGACGTCAAATTTGCATTCATCCCTTTAGTTTTGTAAGAAAAATACAACTACCTCAAAGGGGCGTGTATATATATATATGTTGGTGATAGACGGGCCAAATAAACCAATCAGATCAACGAAGCATATGACGTACTAACAGAGCGACGACGAAAACACAACCACAAGCTAGGCTACTCTTGCCGAAACCAGTCGGGAGAAGAGCAAAAACATCTTTTCCTCTGAGAAAAGCCTCCAGAGCAGTGTTTTGCTCTTCTTTCAGTGGAGAAATACTCTGTAATTCCGATAAACTTGCTCGATAGCCACGCTAACGCTAGTTTCATCGGCTGAAGCCACCATGTTCTTTAGACTGAACTGTCGCTCTTCTCGTTGCGTCACACCTCAACCCGCCTCAAAGCCAGCGCTGATTGGACGTTCGTTTGGTGAACTGCTCCAAATTTTCTTCAACGGAGAGTTTCCAGACTGATCTGCGAGTGAAATCTTGAAAGCTCGCGAGATCAGGATGGTCTCACGAGGCTAATGACAATAAGGCTGTTCTCCGCCATTACAGCAGTCTTCTTTGGCCGGTGTTCTGTCAGATGAGCATACCCAAAGTCAATACCCGTTTATCCCTTTAGTCATGTACAAAAAACTATTTAATTACCTACTTTTTGTTGTTTTTTATAGCGTATGGCGATCTGATCTTAAATCATTTTATTTTTTATGTACATGACTAAAGGGATACACGCCCCTTTAAGGTAGTTTAAAGTGTATTTTTCTTACAAAACTAAAGGGATGAATGCAAATCTGACGTCTTGCGCATGTATATTGACCATGGGTATGCTCATCTGGTTGAACAACACGTCACAGGAAAAATACTTTGTTGGTTTTTGATTGTAAATCTCACAAATGGAGGTGGGAGTTAAACAAAGCTGCTTTGACCTAAAGGTACAGAAAAGGTAGCATTAAGCTGGGATGGAAAAAACGGAAACATCCAACAGAAAATTACACATGAAAATATATCAGACTTTAAAAACTAGAGTGGCAGCCTACTGGTTAGG